TACAGACTGAAGGTCTGTGGTGACCCTCCATCAGGCAAGTCTACCCGTGCCACTTTTCTAACAGCATTTGCTCATTTCATGTCTCTGTCACATTTTGTTAATTCTCACAGTATTTCAAACTGCCTCACCTTGTTTGTTATGGTGACCCATGATCAGTGATGACTCCCTGAAAGCTCGGGTGATGGTCAGCATTCTTGGCAATAATGTGTTTTTCATTGAGGTGTGTACATTGTCTTCTGGACATAATGCTATTGCACACGCGATAGACTACAGTGCAGCACGTACCAAACCTTCCCACGTGCCTGGAAGCCAAAATGCTCACTTAACTCGCTTTACAGTGATACTCACTTTATGCAGCGGTGTGGAGACAAACCGGCAAACTCTCCAAAGGGTGCCTTATGGAACTGTACTTCCTAGCGCTGCCCACCGACAGCACCTAGACGGCATGATGCCCCGGGAGCAATGGGCAGCAAGTGCACCCCAGCACCCAGACCTCGGTTCCTAACACTGCCCTTCAATAGGAGGAGCAGGGCTGCAGCAGGGGTGATGCAAGATAAGCCTGGCAGCACAAGGAAGGAAATGCCCCCCACAAAGGAAAACACAGGGGCCCATCAAAAGGACACAAGAATCTAAGCAAAAGAGCTGCCAGGGCCCAAAGCTGGAACAATGTAAGCAGCAAAATAAGTACTGATGATATTGATTATGATCCAGTATTCATTATAATAACCTAAAGGATGAAACAAGTATTTTTGAGTTTGTATTGTTGTAACTGAATAGAGGGCAGCTCTTCCTTACAGAAGAATTCTAATTAATAAATGTACAAGATGAGGAAAAATGAAATTGCCATTAAACAGCACAGTAACACCGCCACAGACTAACCCACCCCTCAGTGATGAGTTCGTGGGAGGTTTAAGAGTGTCCGCAGGGTACATGGAATAGCCCTGCCAAGGATGGCCTGGCCTGGCCTTTGCCCCCCACCCACTGCTCCCAAGGTCCTTGGAACGGCCTGCCTGGCAGCTGTATCTCTGTTTACCTGCAGGCCTAGGGCCATTCCAGAGAGTCTGATAATGCGACTTACAGCGGGGGCCTTGGGTCATGGTGGCGGGACCTCTGAGCACTGGACACTAAATCAGCCACATGGTCAGGCAGCCACCTCTATGCAATCCAGCCCTGATACATGTGGGGACAGGAAGGCCTGGGGGAGCGCCCTGAGTGGCACTACTGCGTGATGTCACACACTGGGAGAAGTTAGCACCTTCCACAGCTCCAGGGAAACCCCAGCCGGGAACTTCGAGCTCAGGACTCTCCTGAAGCCTGTCCCATGCCCCCTTTCCTTGGCTGGCTTTATGCAGTACCCTTCACTGAAATAATCTCTAATGGGGACTTTTGAGCCTTTCTAGAGAGTTAGTGAACCCAAGAGTGGTCCTGGAGACCCTCTAACTTGCAGTTGGTATCAGAAGTGAGGATGGTCTTGCAGACCTGAGATGTGCACACCATCTCAAACTATCTACCTCAAAATAAGTATTTCTTAATTATGGAGGGAAAAACAGAAACTTACAATGGAGAAACTTGGCAGACAGCCCTTAAGCCATCAAGGTTAGCATCACCTGTCATGTTTATTGCATGCACCCCTATAAGATGCCATGAGAAGGGCACCTTACTTCTGGCTCCAAAAATTCCTTCCCACAGCCTACTCAAGAGAAAGCATCAGACAGGTGCAGGCAGAGGGACATCCCAGCACCTTGGGGGTGATGGACCCACAAAAGCACCGGAGAGGCAAGGAAGGGCTGATCAACACCACAGACCGCAGGAGATGAAGGAGCTGTGATAACGAAGTGCAACCTGGGGTCCCGGATGGGATCCCGGAACAGGAAATGGACACTAAAGCAGGACACTGGTCAGATGCAGAAGCAGCCTGCGGACCACTTAACCAGATGGCAGCAGGGCTCCCCCTCAGTGCAGCCCCACAGTGAATGCACTGTGAGGGCGGGAGAGGTTGGCAGGAGGGAGAGCTGGGCGAAGGGCCTCAACTAGGGGACACAGAGGGGTGCCAATACCCACGGAACACTGCCAGTGAGGGAAACACTTTTTCTTCAAGCCTAAAATTCTAATGAAATGTCAGGGGGAAAACCCCAAGGGTTCTGGAAAACAGACAGTGGGCTTACATGTACACTTCTCTATCTCTTGGCCTGTTACAGGACTTCAGAGGGCTTTTCCAGGAAGATGTGGGGGCAGGACATTAGCCTCTGCACCTACACGGAAATTCTTCTACAGCCTTCACATAGGAAGGCTACTTGGCAGGTTCCAGATTTCTATTTCCATTAAAAGTCTCTAAAATGTTTAAATCAATGAGTGTATAAAAAATACTTTGATATCACCTCACACCAGTAAGGACTGCCACCATCCAAAAGACAAACAAAAACAAATGTTGGCGAGGATGTGGAGAAAGGGGAACCCTCCTACACTGCTGGTGGGAATGTAAATTAGTTCAACCATTATGGAAAGCAGTATGGAGGTTCCTCAAAAAGCTCAAAATAGACATACCATTTGACCCAGGAATTCCACTTCTAGGAATTTACCCTAAGAATGCAGCAGCCCAGTTTGAAAAACAGGTGCACCTCTATGTTTATCACAGCACTATTTACAATAGCCAAGAAATGGAAGCAACCTAAGTGTCCATCAGTAGATGAATGGATAAAGAAGATGTGGTACATATACACAATGGAATATTACTCAGCCATAAGAAGAAAACAAATCCTACCATTTGCAACAACATGGATGGAGCTAGAGGGTATTATGCTCAGTGAAATAAGCCAGGTGGAGAAAGACAAATACCAAATGATTTCACTCATATGTGGAGTATACGAACAAAGAAAAACTGAAGGAACCAAAACAGCAGCAGACTCACAGAACCCAAGAATGGACTAACAGTTACCAAAGGGAAAGGGTCTGGGGAGGATGGGAGGGAAGTGAGGGATAAGGGTGGGGAAAAAGAAAGGGGGTATTACGATTAGCATGTATAATATGGGGGTGGGGGACCGGGAGGGCTGTGCAACACAGAGAAGACAAGTAGTGATTCTACAACATCTTACTACGCTGATGGACAGTGACTGTAATGGGGTTTGTGGGGGGGACTTGGTGAAGGGGGGACCTAGTAAACGTAATGTTCTTCATGTAATTGTAGATTAATAATAACAAAATAAAAAATATATATATTTTGACTGCCATTGCAAGCTGCTAAGAAACTGGCTCCTCATTTTGAAAACTGATAAAAAAAGGACTCAGACATTTATCCTGACTTTCCTGTAAGAACTATATTGCAGTGTAGAGAATGGAGGAGAAGTTGCTCTTTACAGAAATCTTCTAGCTAGTGATGAGAAAGGAATGACAGAACATCATCCTTCTGCAACCCCAAAGGAATTATATAGATCAAGTCACTGGTCATCAACAGCTCCTAACAACACAGGACAGACAGACTGACCACAAGACGTCAGGACCTTCTGCAAGAGCCCCCACCACCTGCAAATGACTTTTGCTAACCTCCCACACACACCCACACAGAATCAAACTTCAGTCAGATCAAGTCTCTAGATGTTATTACTAATTTACAGGAAACATGGAAAACAGAGGAACTTGTTCAATGACACCAGTGATGCACCCAGCAAAGTCCAGACAGGTCAACGTGACAAACCACCCAGACTCCCCAACAAATCACAGGACAGCAATGCAGAAACCCGTATATGTGAAACAGACTTAACAAACATATCCACCAATAGTAATATATGAGCCTTATTTGGATACTGATTCAAAAAGTTACAAAAGAACATTTATAGCATTTGAGAGAACTGAATATTTGAACGCTTGCTAGATTTTAAGGAAAACCGTTAATTTTTAAAGAGTTGACAAGTTACCTGGTTATGTCTTTTAAGTGTCCTTATTTTTTCTAAAGATAATGCTGAAATGTTCAGAAAAGCAGTAGTAAAAATATAAAACCACCTCTACAGATGCTACCCCAAAGCAAGCAATCAGTATCACATGGTACACCTGAAAGTCCACAGTATTCCCTCTCCTCAAGTGGAAATGACCTATCAGGTTAAATGAAAACATTTGGTTCCCTCCGCCCTGCAGACTGCTGCCACCACCACATGCTCTATGTCTCTTTAGGGTCCACATGACCACATCACACATGGGGGTGTGACCCTCCCTCAGTCACCATAAGCACTGACATGGACACATTTATTACAGGGCAGCAGTTGCTTTAAGAAACCTGATTCACAGAAAATAGGGAATTATTATTTTAAATGAGAAGCCACAATATTAAGAACAGAAAGACATAAAAAGATACTGCTAATCCTACACATACCCCTTGATACATTTAAAATAAATTTTAGATAAATATAAGAAAAATGACACATACATTAAAAAGAAGTCACTGTTACCTTTACAAAAGGATTTGCTGCTGTTTCCTTTAAGTGCCGTGTCCCACTATCCCATTTTCAGGAAGGACAGATACGCTAGGCCACAAACCAGCAGGTCTTGTTCAGTCCACTTAAACGTTTGGTAAAAAATCAAAGTTGCTGACATTTTAAAATTAGGAGAGTTCAATGTAACTTTGAACTAGGTATCTAAATTGCCACACACCACCCAGGGGCTAGCTCTGCGGCAGCCCCCTCCTCACGGTCTTCCCAATGCCAAGGTCGGGTGCCAGCAGCCAGGAAGCACCCGGCTACCCTCTCCGCCTCTCTGACGCCTGTCATTGCTCTTTACCTGAGCAGCCCACCAGGTAATAGTAACAGCTAACCTACACGCAGCATTTTTAGGTCAGTCTGTCACGTCCACATGGATGCTGGGAATGTGGCAATTTTTTTGCCTTAAGTTCACGTAAGGCTAAGGAGTTGACAGAAAGGGCACTCAGAACATAAATAACAGCCATGCTGTGTGCCTCCTGCCTCAGGGCAGCCCCAGCGGCTCCACCCGCACTGCGGCACACACAGCCTCACCTGCGTCGCTCCCAGCTCCTCTCTGCTTTTTTTCCTTGGCTAGTTGAATGGCTCGGGAATCAGTTCTTGCTGAGCCCCCACTTTCCTGAGACCAAAGAAAAGTGTGTCAGTCACTTGATCCAGACGGCACAGTAAGGATAGCAAGGGAACTACTGAGAGGTATTAAGTCTGCTTCCTCAACAGGCAGCCGAGGGTCTCCAGCAAAGGCTCAGAGATCAAATGCTACATCCAGTTACAGTGACAGCAGAACAGAATCCAAGTTGGAACAATGCACATAATTTTATTATCCAGACAGGCAAAGTTTATTCCTCCAAAGTCTAAGATGTATTAAAATATTTTACACAGCAAATTATAAAATGAGTTAAAAACTTCTCTGCTGTCCGAAACAAATGACCAGCCTTCCCTTGGCGATTCAGGCCTAATTAGCTGCAGCACCTGCTGACATTTCTAGAACATGCCACAGTACTGTATGGCAGGGCTGGGAGGGCCGAGTTCACGTGCCCATGGCAGAGACCGCTCTGGCGGCAAACGCCGACTCAGATCTTACACACCAAAATCATAATTAGGTGATTGAACTCAGGAAGTTTACTGAGGGAGCCAGACAGTATTCAAGTAGGACTCCCATGACTGTCGACTGAAGAATGTTTTGTAAGAAAACAGTTCAATACTTATCATACAGAAAAAAAAAGCACGGCCCTCAACAGCTCGTGGCCTACCTGTAACCCATCCGCCACACACCATCTGTGCTCAGAGAACTGAGGCAGCCCAGCACCACACAGCTGGCGAGAAAATGGACAAGGGGTCAAGGTCACGGCGCTCCTCCGGCCTCCACCCTCACTGCAGCTCTGGAGATGTGCAAGTGCGGGGGTAGGCCTGCTCCCCAGCCCCCACGCCCCTGCCCACCACCCACCCGCTCAGCGATCGCGTGGGCCGCCTGGGCACTGCCGCCAGCAGGCGGGGGGTGCACCCGAGACTGAGCTCCCTCAGGCTGAGAAAGGTGATGGCTGGCTCCATGGCAGATGGGTTATCACGTCCTTCACGACTGAGCCTGAATTCAAAGGATTTAAGTTTTTTAAAAAACCAAAGTAAAGATTTAATGGTTTGAACAAGATGAACTTCACCACCAAACTTAACCTGGGCCACAAAGAAGAAACCTATCTGATTCCCATCTGACACTAAGGAAAAAGTCAGACTCTCCCTCAAGAATCTTTAAATTATTTTAAGTTATATTAAATGTATAAACTGACATAAATATAATTAAAGTATATTAACTGTCGAGCCTCAAAATTGAGAGAAATACCCTTATAATTCCCCCAGAAGCAAAGGCTCACAAGCTACTACTCCCTTTCTTCTTATTAATTCTAATTAAAAAAAATTTTTTTGAATGGTTTTAAAGTTTCCATTAAACCTTTACAGACAGCTAAAACTGCGAATCTGCTTCCTCTGGCCACCAGTAAGCCCAAGGACTTACTATGTGAAAAGCACAAAAGCAGAACATTTCAACATTAGGAAACACCCCCACTTTTTTCAAGAGGAGAAGCACATTACCACAGAATTTAAAAGTCCCTTAGAAATCATCTAGCCCAACCCCCTCATTTTAGACATAAGTGAGAATTTAAGGCTCAGGCAGGTTAAGTGATTTGTTCAAGGTCAGTTCCAACTCAAGATCGGAATTCAGATTTCTAGACTTGTAAGTCCAGCGCTCCATCCCTTCACAAGCCAGTGGGAAACGTCTGTACAGAAGTGATTAGTCCAGAACACCCTCAGAAGTGCGTGTAAAAGTGAGCTGTGTGGTGACTGAACAGAGCACCTCATACCAAATAGAAGCTGCTGGTCCCAGCACCAAGCCCGGTGTCCTCCTGGGGACTGTACTTCTCCTCGAGGCTGGAGAGCACAGATGGGGGCACCCCTCTGCTTTGCTCTTGCTGCCTGACAGTCTCGGGGCTGGGGGGTGAGTCCGGTTCCACTTTGATTGAAGTCAGCAGTTCTGGGGCACTAGTGCTGCCCGGGGGGCTGCTTGAAGGGGTCAGTATGGTGGGGTTTGTGGCTAAATTACTGCTGGAGGCCAGAGTCTGCGGACCCTGACTCAAGCTCTTCACAGGCAGGGCCACCAGACAGCCCAATGCTCCTGCGCTTACGGTCTGCACATCATCCACGCCGAAGCTGCTCTGCTGAAGAACTGTGGCTGCTGTCCCAAAAACAAGAGGGCTGTCTAGGCTTGGAGGCATGTCACCCTGGGTCACCAAGACTAGTGGATCCGTAGGCCCTAGGGAGCCATTATTAGCAGGGAGGTTCCCTGCCAGGGAGCTCACAGAAGTAACGTCAATAGTCAGGACCCCGGAGTCCAGCACCTCCTCCGAGGCCCCCACCACACCCCCACTGTCACCAGGTGCGCCAGAGAAGAGGGCAGCCAGGTCTATGTTGTTAAGCTCACTTTGGCCTGGGCTGCTGAGTCCACTGCTGGGCGTGAGGGCACTCGGACCTCCGAGCTGAGGGTAGAGATCTGAAAAGGGAATACACTCCAGTTACTTCACACCCTTGGCAGACCAAAAGTTTTGTTCATGCTCAAGGTGTTAGCGAGTGACCCATGGAGGACATGCTGTCCTTCGCTGTCCCCACGGCCTGGCACATCAAAGGTGGCCACGTGCTGCTGGGAGAAACTGCCTGATGACAAGTCAGGCATCCTCCGTACATTGTCTCCAACCCTTGAGCTGACAAGAGCCCTCCAGACACAGGAAATGACTTGAGAGTCTAAATATCATTTCCTAAGGTCACATTAACTATCTTCTCACTATACCACAGCTGCTACCCCTGAGAAGATTGTAAAACTTTCCATGGAACTCAAATCTTCAGAAGTCAGACACAAGCTGAACTCTGGCTCTGTGGATATTTTTGGAATCAGTTTGTGTCAGCTCATGTCTCAATAAACTCTACACCCCACTCCACAACTAGCTACTACTCCAAAATAGGTTTGAGTCATTTGGGGGTGATCAGTGGGTACACAGATTGGCCTGGCTGGTCTGGCTCTGGGCTAGGATGAAGGGCCTTGTCCAGGGAGCTGCAGAGAATGCAGACACCAGGCAGGTGAGCTGTGTCCCCAAGGGGCTCCCGTTTCCCACCGCTGTCCTATTTCTAACCTCTAATACTCCTCCCACCCCACAGGCTATGGTCAGCTTGACAGTGGAGAGTCTGTCTGACCCACCTTTGTCCTTTCAGCACCAGGCACAGAGCATGGCCCTTAAGCAGCACTTAATGATTAGAGTAGAAATAATTCACGTAGATCCCTCTTCATTCAGTCTTATATTTAATTATAGATCAAACAGTCTTCAAAAATTTGATTGTGATTCAATTATGTAAATTAAGTAATCAGAGCACCCTTGGGAGAAAAAAGTACATTGAAATACTTTTTTAAAGTTTCTATGAATTGGGGGTTTATACACAGGTACACCAGCCAGCCCAAATCCTAGGACTCTTCGACCACTAGGCAAATGGAACGAGCAGCACAGGGAGCCCGCACAGGAGCCAGACAAGGCCTGACGTCATGCCCCCCAGGAGTTTCCACCTGCGGCTTTTATTGTGTGCCAGTGCCCAGCCAAGGGCTTTAGTCTGGCTCTAGTCCTCCCACACCAACTGCTGGCTGATCCCAACTCATACTTTCCACTGTGAACACCAGGCCAGAGTGCCTATTATATTTCTAATGTAAACCAAGAGAGAAATCTACCCCCCAGATAAATAACCAAATTCAGAATCTATCTTCTCTGAGATGTATCTCCTACTTCCAATGAAACATTCTGAAAGAAAATGGCTGTGATTCTTTAAAGAAATTAAAAACTGGAAAAACTTTTCAAAACTTCCCCAAAATTCCCGATTATCTTGAGGATTCAGCGCCATGTGAAAAGATGAGGAATAACAAGCTCAGTGCAAATAGATGCCAACTTGTTCATAAATTTTCTAATTAGCATTTTGTTAATTCCACATTTACTGAACAGCTGCCCTGTGCTAAGGCCAGATTCAAAAATCACTCCATAAATGTTAATTAGGAGACCACCTAGCATAAGGTTACAACTGTGCCCCTGCTCTGGCACCCACTGCCTGTGTGACCCCAGGCAAGTCCAGCTCCGCCCACCCTGGCTTGTCAGTGACACAGAGTAAGTAAGGACCTCTACACAGGACCACGGCAAGGGGCTCAAACAGCCGACCCAGGGCCTGCCGGTGCCCCTGGCACAGCTGGTCCACAACAGAGACGCTCCCTGCACCGCCGTCTCCTGAGTGAGCACAGACGCCATCTGGTCGTCTGCCCTGACATGAGGCAGGGTAAATGACACAAGTAAGTTGATGTCACCACACCAGCAGAGTGGAGCCTGGGAAACGGCCCTCCCCGGCCTCAGAGGCTGAGGAAAGCTGGAAGGAGCGTTGCTGACTCTCAGTGAGCCAGGCCAGGCCAGGGGGAAGAGCAGGAGCAAGGTGAGGCCCAGGCACAGTGGCACAGGGCACCAGCTCAGAGCGGGGACAGGTGAGTGTGAGCAGAAACAGAGGCAGGCGGCCCACTGCTCAGGGCCTCTCAGCACCAGCACCAGGCCCACAAATGGCCTTTGGGAGCCGAGGTAACAGCTTCTCTCAGGAGTGGAGTCTTAACACACCTAGTTTTGAAGGACAGCTTCTTTAAATACAGAGCAGAATGGAGATTATTGCTAAAGCCAAACGAGTGAAGCAGTGACCACATCTAAAAAGGGCCTAATCAGAAGACGCCAGAGCACATGCCCACTGAACTACACTGGGCCTCAAGCTCTGCTCTCGGCACTTTGACAACTCAGCCTGAGGACTGCTCGGACTCTCTTCCGTGTGTTACAGATGAGGACACCAGGGCTCGCAGACCTGTGCCCTGCCAGGATCACACCGCTGGGATGCGGCTGCACCCCAAGGCTGGTGCGGCCTGTCACACAGGACAGTGAGCGGGGTCAGCAATGCGCTCAGTACACGAAGCTGGCTGGGCCTGCCGGAACCAGAAACCCCACCATGCCTGAGAGCAGGGTGCTGTGAGCTCTGAGGGACAGGCGGCAGGACTCCGATGTGCCCGGGGTGCCCTGGTGGCCCGCTGTGGCGGCTCCCCTCTGCCCACCCTCTCCAGGCCCTCACACCCCCACCCCACCCACATTCAGAGCGCAACTCTTTCTGGTCTTCAAGGACTTTCCTCAGCACGTGAAGGTAACTCGGCAGTGGGGTGGAAGAGAGGAAACAGAAGGGAAGGCCCAGAGAGAACACTTAGAAAGAGCTGGAGAGGATGGCAAGGTGGGGAGGCGTCTCAGAATCCACAACAATGGCCACATGGAGACCATTAGGAGACACATACCAGGGAAGCCAATGCAGTGGAAGACCGAGCATTCTTCAAGGGAAGCCTCGAGAGAAAGGGGCAGGAGACAGGGTCAGAGGTCCAAGAGGCCACCAAGCTCGGCAGCCTCGGGCCACGGGCTCATAAGGCTTCACCGTACTCGATTAACTTAACCTAGAACCAGAGCTCCTGAAAGGAGCTGAGGCCAGTGTGACATGCTCTGGCTTGTCTGAGCTCGCACATCCCGGCAGCACCCTAACGGGATGGAAATGGAGCAGACCTGGGCGCCGACTGTGCTGTCTGCCCACGTGGGCCTTCATGCTGTGCTTGGAGGTGAAGAGTCTGTTACAGCTGGAGACCGGGCATCGGCTCTTCGGAGCACCCACGTCCTGCAGGTGCTTCTTGGAGTGGATGTAGAGACTGCTACGTGCGGAGAACCGGGCACAGCACCCTGGAACCAAAATGACGGTACGTATTAAAAGTTAAACCCAAGTATTCCTGAGGAACCCGCACTGACATTCCCATGTCGCATCAGAATCATGAGACAGTACACGCCCATGCCTTGGCCACCTGCAGGGACAGACACCAAACATCCCTTGGGCAGCACCCCAGGGATCACATGCAGAGGAAAACTGTTTTAAAGATTTGAGGACCCATGCCATTTCTGGGTAAGGCACGTGACATCACACAGGTTAGTTCTGGGCGTACTTCTCCACCACCAACACAGGACTGCTGGGAAGAGGATGTCAGACCAAGTGTTAAACTATTCCTCAAACATTCCACTGCTAACGATCAATACTAATCATGTCTATTAAGCTACCGCTATAAAGACAACTGTAATCCCATGAAATTTGTTGTTCAGAACTATCTCAACATAACCATCAAAGCCAATTCTTCTCATTTAACCGCCAATAAACTGATGCTCAGAGGGAGCAAGCAAATAGCCCCAAACAGGAGCACAGAGCTGCTGGGGTTGACGCTGCCCTGCTGACGATGCACGGCTTAGCCGGAGTCAGCAGGACCATAGGCCTGTGTGTGGATCAGAGGGAAACGCGGCAAATCCCGAGCCACAGCCGCACTCCTTCATGCCCACATTTCCCACTGGTGGCGCTTCATGCCTCTGGGACGCTGACGAGGGAGGGGGCTCTTGGCAGTTACAGACTGTGAGCTGGTGGGGATGTGGGAATAGCCAGCTGTCATAACATAGGGCAGAACAAATGCCACTGTGGTTCCAGAGGAGAGGAAGTGGCACCTCTGGAGAGGACAGGAAGAGTCTCGGGAGGCAGGTGGCATTTGAGGAACGGACCCTGACAAACAGCAGGGGCCTCCCACTGCAGAGCAGGAGGGCCCTTGGGCCAGGGGCCGCCCAGCACAGGCACAGAGGCCACGAGGGGCAGCAGGACACAGCCCGGACTCTGGAGCTAGTGTGGCTGGATCCCAAATGTAGCTTGGACCCGTGAGCCAGGTGGCCTTATTTATTTGCCTTCTGTGGGCCTCCTTTATTTCCCGTGAACTGGAAACAACGCCTGCCTCATAGCACTAAACAAGCAGTGCCGTGCTAGAGCACGTGCACAGTGCCCAGGGATGTGGTGCGGGCATCGTGACACCACCTGCACCTTCCTGGAATGCTCATCCAGAACTGCTGGACACTGGGGCCTGGAGGAGGGCTATCTTAGAAAAAGAGGCTGCAAAGACACAATACAACCAGGTGAGTGAGGGCTTCGGATGCCTCTGAGAGGACTTTCGAACTTTCCTTACTTTCAAACAAAACTTCCAACTTATGTCCAAGTCAGGCTCACTTGGAAAACACAACAGAGAGAACAGGTGCCTCCAGTGTCCCCGCTGGGGGCACTGTTTGCAAGGGGACCATGGGACGCACAACGCCTCTACCCCCCTTTCCCGGCTGGCACTTGGCACAGGACTCCAGAGGCAGATCACAGAGCAGACACGCCGATGGGCCCACGAGAGCAGGGCAACCACCACACTCCTGCCAGAAGCCCTGCCTTCCATCCCCATACACACCCACCACCCTACACCTCATCCTCTCCTTCTCCTTCTGCTACTATACCAAAGGTGAGCGGTTGTTTTTTAATTTTTAATAGGTACTTTAACTTTTTATTATTTACTATTTTAAACACCTACATAAACAGAAAAAAATGGTATAATCACCCAGACTCAAGAATTACCTACTCTCAGCCAATCTGAGAAAGGGTTCTGGGTCCCTCCCCCAGGCACCTGCCTTCACCCCCCACTCCCAAGACAGAAGCTCCCAAACTACCCTCCCACCCCCACCACCCGCTGCTGGGTCCCCCGTCCCCCAATTCCTGCATCTCTCCCCGCAGGCATCTCAGCGCCCAGACTAGCTCAAAGTTCTCAAGGCTCCAATTCCCAAAAGACAAAGGTAAGCCCCGCTCCATGGCCACCCCTTCCTGGCCCTTCATCACCCCCAGAAGGCGAGGGCCCACCCAGTCCTCCCAGCCCTGCGCTGGGGACCGACTCTGCTCCTGACCCCCCCTTCCTGGCCTCGGTGCCCAGTGCTGCGCACCTACTGTTCCTTCTCAGGCACCCCCAGGGTGCCCCCACTGCTTTCCCACCTGGACCTGCGGCAGTCCCCAGGGTTCTGTCTGAGGGCCTTTCATTTTTAAGAGCAATGCTACCAACAGTAAGTGACATCTACTGATGTTCTGTTTCCCTTTATTAAACTTACTAAGTGAGCCCCCTCAACAACCCTAGGAGGTTTTACTATTACCTTAAAGACAAGTAAAGAGGCACAGAGAGCTTGAGCTGCTTGTCCAAGGTCACAGCATTACTCAAGTAGCCCCGCGGGATTTGAACCCAGGCAGTCTGATGCCAGCATTCTGCTCTGCATCACTCCAGTACGCTGTCCTCTCTGTTTCACACCGTTCCTTGAGAACTGCGTCCACATCCAGGGCTTAAATGGTGACTGGGGTGCTGCCCACTGCCTCGCCCGCCCCCAACAATAGTTCCCCGTCCCTGAGCATCTGAACTTGGAAAGCCTGTGGGTTCCTAAAATGTAGCTCTTCCTCCCACCCCCTGCCCTGCATCCCTTCTCAGCTGAGACACTGACCCCAACAACTGCCTCTCCCACAGCCCCACCTTCCAAATTTGTCACAACACCATGGAGTTCTAACTCATTCTTTTCATCTGTGCCTTCTCTCCCCACCCACTGGCAAACCCATGCTGCCACCAGCCCATTCTCCCTAGGAAGCCAGACGGAGCCCAACCTCAGACTCGAGCCCATCAACCCCCCCCACCTCGAGGGCTCAGCCCACTTGTCTAGCAGCTCTGGGAGGTGCCCCACATGGCCTTTCTACCTCCATCACCCCCAGCGAGCTCTTCCTCACTCTCAGCGGAGTGGGAGGACATTCCCGCGGCCCCGGACCGTTTGGGTGACCTCCTCTGTGCCCCACAGCGCCTGCACGTAACCTGTCTGCCACAGCCCGGCCACGGCTCTGATGAGAGAAAGAACTGGGTGTGGCATCTGCACTACACTCATTACATCCCGGAAGCTGGTCTGGCTTCAAATGGGTCTTTACTATCCCCTTTTCCAGATAAGGAAACAGAGGCCAAGAGAAGCTTTCCTGACATCACTGACTTAGGGAGGGGTGGAACCAGGATTCCAGTTCACAAGCTGGCCCTGGCCCCGCCGGCCCTGAACTCACATGCAGCACTGGAGCAGGGCCAGGACAAATGCAGACTCGAGAGGAATACAGCATGCCTTCCATGTTTTTGAGAAAAATAAACCTAACATCCTTTTAAAAAGACAGCCTAGTTTCACTGTCTAATCGCAACATGAGTAGCTGCCATTTATTGAGTCCATAACACATACCAAGTACCCAAACAGGCATTTTCCACCTATTATTTCAACCAATCCTCACAGCCACACCAAATTAAACAGGTAACTAGACCCACAGATCCAGTGAGAGCATGTAGGTGGGGTCAAGGGTCAAACCCGGTCTGATCTGAAGCCTGTTCTTATTGATAAACTGCTCCTAAGATACAGCAATTAACTAAAAACCAGACAAGTAAATGTCATGCTGCAATTTACACTCGCCTTGTCTTTCAGCAACTAAAACTTACTTTCACACAAATTAAACTCGCAACATCAGTGTGGACGTAGGGCTAGTTTACAGCTTAAAGTCATGTGTCATATCTACCTTCCACGGGGCACTCAAATGGCTTTGTGCCCAGGTGGGTGACGCTGTGGCCTTTCAGATGCTCTGCTCTCGTGAATGACTTCCCACAGCCTTCCACAGGGCAGGTGAATCTGCGGTCGTCATCGTGCTTCCTGCAGGCAGAGAAACAGGGACACTGACTACTCACTAACCTGGGGGCACCAGGCCTCAGAGGTGATTCTTTGTCTAGAAGTCTGCAAAATATAACAAACTACAAACTCTTTGCATTTAAAAAAGATGACCGATACATTTCAGAAAGTCTCATTCCTGTCTCCAAACCACGTGAGATTTGCATTTAGCTACCCTGTCATTAGAAATTCTACTTTAATGACTAAGCTGACCTCAGAGTCAGACACAGGCCAGTTAGTGATGCTTCACTCTAGGAACAGCTGAGTCCCAAAGGAACTGAAGAAGCTATTTCATCAATAGCTTAGAAATCCTGATATAAATAAGTTTTCAAAGCTATAGAGGGGCAAGTGCGCACAAAAAACACTGGCTGCAATGCTAGGAAGATCCTCTCAAGCCCTTGCATAGTGTCTTTTTCCTAAGTAACATTTCTATTATCAAACGCCTCAAATCCCAGCTGTGCAAGCAGGGACAAACCACCCAGCCTCTCCGGGTCCCAATGCACAGTAGGGAGAACACAAACATCAGAGTCAGAGTTGTGAATATTAAACGTGCTACACATGTAAATTGCTGAGCAGCACCTGCACTCGGCCCTCCAAGGTGGAAAGTTTATAGCTTTTCCTTGCCAGAGGAAAGCTTACTGTACAACATCCATATTTTTTAAATAGTGAATTGCATCTAAAGTATACCTATTAAACTTAAAAACAAGTATACATAGACTTTGGGCGATCAGATTCTGAGTATTTTCTTCTTATAGCTTTCTGAATTTTCTTACATTATGTACACTGGGCTCCTTTTTTTAGTAACTTAAAATATCTGCAGATACTTCATCCATAGGCTTTTGCTACTGACAAACAATTCAACTTTTTCAAATATGTTTTCAGATCAATTTTCAAAAGATAATTCAATCAAAACATAAAGATTACCTTTTGTGCCTTAGAAGTTTAGACATGCTGGTGAAGGTCCAGCCACAACTGTCAGAGTCACAAATAAAAGGTCGTTCCCCTTAGAAAAGAAAAAAATTACACCACAGAATCATAAAAGCAAGCCACTGCGAAGACAGGACTTGAAGCCAAGCTTTGTAGCACGCTCTAGCTCGGTACCTGTGTGGCTTCTCAGGTGGATTTTCAGGCGACAGGCTTTGTCGTATTGTTTGCTGCATCCAGGAAAGGAGCAAGAAAAGAGCTCTTGTTCCCTGAAGTGGGCTCGGTTATGGGAAAACAGAGCACTCACTGTGATGAACGTCTTCTCACAGCCTGAACAAAACAAACACAAAACCTGCTCACTGACCTGACAAAAACCTAACACGGCTCAACCAGTCACCAGCCCAAGGCATTGCTCGCACTGGAGCAGACAAGGCAGAAAATGATCAGAGGCACCTCCGGGAAGTTATGACCACGGTGTGGCTTTGTTACAGCCACATCAGGGGTGGCTAAGGGCAGCCAATAAGGCACACGCAGGCCACCTGCTGTGATGCGACTCTGAGATGAAGCAAGTGATTGAGAAAGTCCCACCATCACAGCCATCTCCTCCCAGTCCTGTAGCACAGATCTGCATACATCTTGTGACTTCAAATGTCAATGCTACCAATCAAAAAAATTAGATATCAGGACCATCTAAAGCCAACAATTTTCAAAATTTAATGTGCGTACTAATTATCTGGAGAACTTGCAAAAAGTCTGATTCTGACTCAGTAGTTCTGACTGAGATGGGGCTTGCAGTTTTGCACTTTTAACAAGCTTCCAGATGTCCAGAATCATGGATGTAGATCCAAAGTGATGCAGCATTACTCTTCAACCCATTGAGTATTTTCTTCTTATAGCTTTCTGAATTTTCTTACATTATGTACACTGGGCTCCTTTTTTTAGTAACTTAAAATATCTGCAGATACTTCATCCATAGGCTTTTGCTACTGACAAACAATTCAACTTTTTCAAATATGTTTTCAGATCAATTTTCAAAAGATAATTCAATCAAAACATAAAGATTACCTTTTGTGCCTTAGAAGTTTAGACATGCTGGTGAAGGTCCAGCCACAACTGTCAGAGTCACAAATAAAAGGTCGTTCCCCTTAGAAAAGAAAAAAATTACACCATAGAATCATAAAAGCAAGCCACTGCGAAGACAGGACTTGAAGCCAAGCTTTGTAGCACGCTCTAGCTCGGTACCTGTGTGGCTTCTCAGGTGGATTTTCAGGCGACAGGCTTTGTCGTATTGTTTGCTGCATCCAGGAAAGGAGCAAGAAAAGAGCTCTTGTTCCCTGAAGTGGGCTCGGTTATGGGAAAACAGAGCACTCACTGTGATGAACGTCTTCTCACAGCCTGAACAAAACAAACACAAAACCTGCTCACTGACCTGACAAAAACCTAACACGGCTCAACCAGTCACCAGCCCAAGGCATTGCTCGCACTGGAGCAGACAAGGCAGAAAATGATCAGAGGCACCTCCGGGAAGTTATGACCACGGTGTGGCTTTGTTACAGCCACATCAGGGGTGGCTAAGGGCAGCCAATAAGGCACACGCAGGCCACCTGCTGTGATGCGACTCTGAGATGAAGCAAGTGATTGAGAAAGTCCCACCATCACAGCCATCTCCTCCCAGTCCTGTAGCACAGATCTGCATACATCTTGTGACTTCAAATGTCAATGCTACCAATCAAAAAAATTAGATATCAGGACCATCTAAAGCCAACAATTTTCAAAATTTAATGTGCGTACTAATTATCTGGAGAACTTGCAAAAATTCTGATTCTGACTCAGTAGTTCTGACTGAGATGGGGCTTGCAGTTTTGCACTTTTAACAAGCTTCCAGATGTCCAGAATCATGGATGTAGATCCAAAGTGATGCAGCATTACTCTTCAACCCATACCCAGGTCCAAAATCTTCCCTCCCTCTTCTGAGTAGGGGAGTAGAGAAACACACAAAAATAAAAGCAATGTTTGAGAGGAATCTAAGAATGCAGAAATGAAGGAGATTTATGGCAGGACAGACAGCAATAATTTAATATTTCCTTTGAAAGTCAACTATTTCCAATATACGCATAAACCCTAAGTCAGATTTTGTCTATTGCATCCATACTTAAGGTTAAAACTACTTAGGATGTTAAATAGGCAGCAGCATTTAAAGTATCCAGAATGAGAAGTAAATAAATGCCTGCAGATACTATCAGGACTTTCAATCCTTTTTATTAATCTTAAAACAAGAAACCTAGTTAATTGCTATTTTGTGTTCCTAGCTGCATTTATCTTGCAGAATGAGACGTTCGTGGGTGATACTGCATGTGGGAACACATACATTAAGATTTCCTGAACTAAGTGTCAAGTATGCCAGCATTAGGATTTACATTTCAGGCACATGTCTTTTTAAAGATTTCTTTTAATTACTAGCTCCTTCATTATTTATTTTGGTAGGAAAAAAAAAGTTAGATACCATCTTATTGAAATGGGAGTAAATATTGGTTAATTTTTCCTATCACCATTATACAGCTCAATAGCATATCCTTTTGATCCACACTGCAGGAATCTGAGAGATCTTTGTCAGTTAAGAAAATATTCAAGCAGCTTCTAAACAAATGCGATTATCTTTACAAATATAGGAAATTTGAATCACAAGGTAAAGTTACTGCTCTTAGAACTTGAGAGATCAATATTAAATGATATAATTCCAAAAAAAAATAATAAAGAAAAAAGAAATTAGATACTAAAAGCTAAGACTTCTGTCTGATGGGATTGAGCTTGGAAGAGCCACAAAAGTTGCAGTACCTGAGACATTCCTACCCCCAGGTGATGCTGCACTTTTACTTAGCCTCTCTGCCCTTCTCTGCAACAGAGCCCACCTCTGTCATCTGGCTTTTCTTTTCCTTTCTGCCCATGGCAGAGTTCCCTGCTCTGTGAAAGGAGGTCATCCTGTCATCTTCCCTCACATGGCCTTTTCCATCCCGTCCATCCTCAACCCCCGGCTGAGCCACCAGGAAGGAGCCTACTTCAGCAATTGCCAGACTTACCACACCAAGTTTTCCTTTGACAAAAAGGTTCAGTGCTCAAACAGGGTGGAAAATGCCAGGCTGCAAGACGCTGCAGCTCTTCTCAGAGCCCTGAGCATACTACCATCATGCCTGCTTACCCCCAAGATAAACACAGCACTCAGGATGTACCAGCCCGAGGGTCCTTGCTTTCCCTCGGAACATCTTCCTAATGCCTCCTCTTGGTGTAAATCTGCCCACCCCCAACCCCGCCCCACCTCCAAATCCTTCACACTCGAAGCAGGAAAATGTGAATGGGCTAAATAAATCTCTGCCTCAGCAAGAACCACCCCACCTCAGCGGACCATCATTTGCTTCCCTTTGATCCTGCCTCTGTGGTCTTTCCTACCCGTAGACTCCTCACCATCCCCACCGGCTCCAGCCGCTGCACCCTCAGGAAACTCAGGTCTGGAACATTCCCTCTCCTGCTTCTACTCATTTCAAACCTGCTCATCTGGAAACTCTCAGGGGGGACCTCATGCCCGAGAGCAGGCTGGATCCCACGTCTTCCTAGTCTTTACTCAGAATGATTCCCTTCGTACATTTCATTAGGGATCAGGCAGTCTATAAGCCTCCGTCAATTCCTGGTGTGTATGATGGAGAAAGTTTTCCAATCAGTGTCCTACAAGCATGGTCTCCACGAAGAGGGATGCACATGACAGTCCCCGAGCACGTGGGAACAAAATGTTAGAACCTGTTAATATTTGTTTTTCACGTTACCCTTTGAAAATCCCCATATATGAGCAAATTTTATATTGTATACAACTATCAAGAGAGCACTGCCCATGTGCAATACATCGATACACATGGTAGGCCCATGCTGCATGCCTGCTAGGCACACGGCTGAGTTTTGTTTCAGAAGGGGACACAGAAGGTCCTTCACCCTGTCCTTGGCCCTCCCACCCCTGCCTGCCCCGGCCCCTCCCCACAGCCCAGTCCCTGCCTTGGCTGTGCGGTTCCAGCCACTGCACTGCCCCCCAAGCCAACTCCTTCCCGGGCAGGGACAGTCTCTCCTCCAGGGTGGCATGCGCTCCTTCTCTGAGCACCTAACCCTGCCTATCCTGGTGAAGAGCTCCCTGTGTTGGAACCTTACATCCCCAGCCACTGCAGGCAATCACTGTGGAGAAAGAGCTCTCTACTGGGTTTTTTCCTCGCCGTTCACCTGTCTCCTCATCTACAAAATGAGGATAGTTTTTAGAACTTCACAAAACTGTTTAGTCCAAAGGAAATAAAAGCATAAAGGCACGGCTGTGATGCACCACACACCTGCGATTATCCCCCAGCCCAAAGGGCTCACGTCCGGCCAGCTTCACGTGTGCCTCCTGGACGGAGTGTGCACCCGGTAAATACCTGCTGACTGAGTACTGCTAAGTTATGAGACCCAGGAACCGATGACCTGACTCATAATCGGATCTCTGAGAAGATGCGTTGTCATTTCTTAAACAAATGTTGTCTCCACCGTGGAGGACAGCTGTTATCATCTGTGCTACCTCCCTGTCAAAATCCCTACGGCAACGCAGGTGTAGGATCGAATCGTCCGGAAAGAACTAAAACACAGACACTAAAGTGCTACGCTCCCGTCCCTCACTCTTGGCTTAGCAGGTTTAAATCCCGAGAGGGCGGCTGGAGGGCGGGCGACGCCGCAGCACTGGCGGCAGAGCCACCTGGGACCTGGGACCCCGTGCCCGCCCGCAGCCCGCCCGCAGCCCGCGGCGTGCGGTTACCGGGGAAGTCACACTTGTACGGCCGCTCGGGCTCGAAGTGACTGCGCTGGTGCGAGCTGAGTTTGGCGTGCGTGGGGAAGAGCTCGGCGCACACTTCGCACTTGAACAAGTTCTCCTGCTCGTGGCCCTTCACGTGCGCCTTGAGGTTGTACACGGTGGTGAACTTCTTGCCGCAGCCGCCCACGGTGCAGGCGAAGGGCCGCAGCTTGTCGTGAGACTGTAAGTGCCGCTTGAGCTTGTAGGAGGTGGTGAAGGCCCAGCCGCAGCCGTCCAGCGGGCACTTGAAGGGCCGATGGCCCTGGCTGCCGCCGTGCGTCAGCAGGTGCACCTTCAGCTGGTGCTTCTTGGCGAAGGAGAGCGCGCACTGCGGCTCGGGGCAGCGGTAGGCCGGCGCACCCTGGCCCGGGGGAGCGCGGCGGCCCTCGGCCGGGCTCGCGGTCTCGTTGCCGGGCGGCGCGGACGGGCCGCGGGGCGGCGGGCCCGGGGGCGGCGGCGCGGCGGCCAGAGTGAAGACGCCGTGGTCGAAGCGCACCAGCAGGTCCTGGCTGTTGACGGTGACGGTGCCCGAAAGGGCGGCGCAGGGCCCGGGGGCGGCGGCCGCGCCGCTGGGGCCCTGCTGCGGGCGACTGGCGGGGCTCGCGCCAGAGTAGGACTCGGCATCCCGCAGCCCGGGGTCGTCGGCCGCGGTGCCGCGCGCCACTTCTAGCAGCACCACGAAGGAGTCGCCGCCGTCCTCGGGGGGCGGCGGGCTCGGCCCGGGGCCCACCGCCGCCGCCCGGGCCTCCCCGCGCCGCGGTCCCGGCCCGCCATCTTCGGAGCTCCGCAGCAGCAGCAGACGGCGGCGCGCAGGGCCCGAGCTGGGCGGCGGCGGGCCTCGGCGGAGGCGGCCGGGGCCGCCGCCATGTTGGGCTCCGCGCGCAGCTGGGGCGGCCGGCAGCTCCGGGAGGTCCATTTTGAGCCCAGCAGCGGCGTCCAGGCCGCCGCTTCAGAGGAAGCGCCGTCCGCCCCGCCCCGCCCAGGCGTGCACTGCGCTGTGCGGCCGCCCCTTGCTGGTCGGCGCCAAGGCCCGGCGCGGATTTCCGGCCGGAGTCCCGCCCCGGGGCCGCGCGTGCGCGGAACCGCGGGACGGTGCGCTGGGCCCTCTCGCCGCTGGCTACCGTGCGCGAGTCGGGACGCTTCCCTGACTTAGCAAGCCTGCCATTCTTCTGGTTGGTGGGTTAGTAATAGCAGTCCACCGTCTTCACGCTCACCACTGAGGAAACTGAGGCGCAGAGAGCTCGAGGCCCTGGCCCGGGGTCCCACAGCGGGAGCCGGTGGACTCCGGGTTCCAGCAGCCGGCTTCCTGACCGCCAGGCCGCACACTGTCCCCGGGAGCTCAGGACCTGCCACCTGCCCGCTGCTGGCCTCTGGCCCTTGCAGCGCCCCCAGGCTTCCCGGTACGCGGGCCTCCCATCACGGCCTAGACTCCTGCTGCATTTCGTTCTAAACCACACAACCTCGCACCCGGCAGCTGTAACTCGCTGTTGGCTGAGCTTAGCCATTGCCCTGCTTCCCCGCACCCCAGCCCCGCATCTCCAGATTCAATCTGCAGTCCCTCCACTTTCCTTCATATCACCATTACCCAGATCCAAACCCCTATTTACTCCTAGGTTCTTTGGAAAATAACTAGGTAGCTGGTCCTCTGCCTTCATCCACCCCTCTAATTGTAGTAATACAGATTCCACCCAATCTATTGTGATCTTCCAAAAACGCAAATCAAGTGTGCCCGCTCCATGCACCCAGTTGCTCTTACCGCATTGCTGGTCTCCCTCTCAGTGCACACCTCTCTGTCCTCATTTCTCACCACTTTACCCCTCACTCTACCAGCCCACTGTCCCCATCTTTTTCCCAGTTCCTCCAGCAGGCCAAGCTAGTTCCAGCCTCAGAGACTGCACAGCTGGTCTTAGATTCCTCTGGGAAGATTTAGGTGGCCTTCATCAAAGTACATTCCACTTCCAAAGTGCACCCTTACCCAGCCCCTTTTTCTCCACCTCCCCTTTTACTTGCTTCCTATGTCTTGCAGCAATTGTTTTATTTGTCCCTTTCCTGGCTAGTTCATTGTGTCCCTCTTTAGAATGTAGACTCCTTGAAGACAGGAACTGTGTGGGTCTTATTCACAGCTCTATGCCCAGAGGCCAGCAGCGAAGACTCAGTAAATATGTATTGAATAAATGAATGCTTTGTTATAAATACTTTAAAAATAAGGTACATTAATAATATTGAATAGAATAGGAAACATCTTTATATGTATGAATTTATGCCAAAAATTTATTGTTCCAGGACCATTCAGTGGAGGGAAGACTCTCCTTTTCAAGAAGTAGCACTGGGACAACTGGACACCCACATACAAAAGAATGAATTTGGACCCCCCTATCTCCCACCAGGCACAAAAAATAACTCAAAATGGATCAAAGACCTAAATGTAGGAGCTAAAACTATTAGAAGAAAACCTAGATGTAAATCTGTGTGACCTTTGATTAGGGAATGGTTTAGACATAATGCCAAAAGCACAGGCAATAGAAAAGAATTGGGCTTCATCAAAATTAAATCAAAGAACACTGACAAGAAAGTGAAAAGACAGCCCACAGAATGGGAAAAAATTTTGCAAATCATTTATCTGATAAGGCTCTATTATCCAGATTATATTTTAAAAACCCTTACAACTCAACAACAAAAAGACAAATAGACAAAGGATCTGAATAGATATTTCTACAAAGCAGCAGCAAGCACATGAAACATGCTTGAATTCTTTAGTCCTTAGGGAACTGCAAGTCAAAACCACAAGGAGATACCACCTTATACTCACTAAGATAGCTATATATTTTTTTAATGGAAAAGAACAAGTGTCGGTGAGGGTGTGGAAAAATTGGATCCCTCATACATTTTTTTGCTGGGAATGTAATGTGGGGAAGCCACTGTGGAAAAAAACTTTGGAAGTTCCTGGAAAAAGTTAAATACAGAATTTCCATAGGACCTAGCCATTCTACTCCTAGGCAAATACCCAAAAGAAATGAAAAGAAAATCCACACAAAAGTTTATCTGTGAATAGTTAGAGTGGAATAATACTTATAAGAACAATTGGAGATATAAAAAGTGGAAACAACCAAATATCTATCAACAGACATGAGGGTAAACAAAATATGGTATCCATATAATGGAATGTTATTCAGCCATAAAAAGGAAGGAAGTACTGACATAGGCTATAATATGGGTGAACCTTGAATATATGCTAAGGGAAAGAAGCCAGACACAAAAGACCACATATCGTATGACTCCATTCATCCAAAATATCCAGAATAGGCATATCCATAGGGGCAGAAAGTATATTGGTGGTTGCCCAAGGATGAAGGGAGCAGGCAGCTGACTGACTGCTAGTAGCTACAGTTTCTTTTTGGTGTGATGGAATTAGACAGTGGTGATGAGGACACACACAGTGAGTGTACTAAAAGCCACTGACTTGTACACTTTAAAACACTGACCTTTATGTTCTGTATGTCACCACTAAATATATATTGTTAGGTAAAATCAATGCAGAACATGGTTTAGGAGACTCCCACTTGCATAAGAGGCAAAACTATATGTATATTCAGGTGTTTACATTTCCTTAGGAAGTTGCTAGAAAGATACACCAGATACTGCTAGTTGGTACCTGTCACTGCCTCTGAAGTGAGGTAGAGATGGGGCACTTCCACTTTATACTTTACTCCCTTTGGCGCTATTTCATTTTGGCTTAGATCATAAGTGTTTTTAAAGTAATTTTTATAATTAAATATTCTTTTACCCTGTGGAAAACAGTACGGCAGTTCCTCAAAAAACTAAACATAGACTTACCATATGATACAGCAATTCCCATTCTGAGTCTCTACCCCAAAAGGATTAAAAGCAGGGACTCAAACAGATATTTGCACCAACACATTCATACCACTATTATTCACAATAGCCCAAAGGTGGGAACAACCCTGGTGTCCACCAGTGGATGAATAGATAAGAAAAATGTGGTCTCTCCATACAGTGGAATATTATTCAGCCTTAAAAAGGAAGGAAATCCTGACACAGGCTACAACATGGAGCAAACTGAGGACATTAGGCTCAGTGAACTAAGCCAGTCCCCAAAGGGCAAACCCTGTGGGATTTCACTTCTGTGAGGTCCCTGGGGTCGTCACATTCACAGAGACAGAAAACAGCATGGAGGCTGCCAGGGACCAAGGGAGTGGGATGGGGAGTTAGTATATAATGAGGACAAGAGTTTCAGTTTGGGAAGATGGAGAAGTTCTGGAGATGGACAGTGAAGACCAGGGTGCTTTCCATGGAGACTTGCTCACAGACAAAGTGAGGTTGTAGATGCTGGCTTGCTGTGTAGACTAGAAGCTCTGCTGGGAGGGCTCTGAGGGGTGAGGACCAAGCAGCCTGGAGACACATGCTGCCTTTCCACGTGCACCCTCCATGTGTCACAGTGGCCCTCGTGGTCACAGCAGGATTGCTATGCTTCCAGGCATCACACCTGAGATTCTGGCAGGAAAAAAGGAAGGCAAAATGCAGTGCAGGCGCATCTAACCATTTTATTAGAAAAGCAGCAGCTTTCCAGAAGTCCTACCCAGCAGACCTCCACCTCATCGCATGAGCCGGAGCTAGACCAGCGGCCACTGCTGATGACAAGGGAGGAAGCCTTGAAAAGCAACTATGTTTTATAGGTGTACATTGCTCCTTGGACAAAACTGGAGTCTTGTTAGTAGGGAAAAAGGGGAGACTGGCCCCTGGGAAGGAGATGAATGTGTCTGTCAAGTGTTTGAGGACTCAGACCCCAGCTAGATTGTCCCCCTCTCTGCAGAAGTGGAGGAAACAGGCATCAGGTTTTGTGTGGCTCCTGAGACACCCACACCCAAACTCTTCCTCATTTCTTTATGAAGCATGAGTCATTTCTATGCCTGCCATGGGTGCAGCTGGGCCTGAGCTAAAACAGAGCTAAGGAGAGTGAGGTGCACGGTAACGCTGCCCCACTTTGCACAGCAGAATTTGAGGGTCTCCAGCCAGCAAGTGTGGCAGGGCCTGCCCAGGGACAGCCTCTGCCTGGTCCTCTGTATGGCCCTGGATGTTTCCAGCATCAGTTGGTGCGGTGTAAAGGGGGGAAGAAGAGAGCAGGGAGCTCATCTCCCCACTTGGCTCCTTTTGATGACTTGGCTGAGAATACAGCAGACCCTTGGCTAGCCTGTGGCAGTGGTGAAGATCATCGCCCCATTATATAGCTGGAAACTGAGGCTCAGACAGGCCCAGGACTTGAGGTCCTGCAGACAGGCTGAGGAGAAAGCTTAGGACTGTCTGGACACCATATCCACCTCTTAATTTAGGAGAAATTCTTATTTTACAGAAGAAACAGACATGCGCATTCCAGAGAGCAAGTTTTGGCCTCTACAATCCTTCCCCAGTAATATTGGACTTAAATAAACCCAAGTTTTATCAGAGGCTTGGTGTTTTATCTCTAAAGGCTCATTAATTACAAAGGAAGGGGGTCATCTCATGGAAGCAGTTACCCGATCCCCTGTCCCCATCTCCCAGGCCTGGTCGCACAGCAGGGTTGGGCCATGGCCTGTCCTGGATGGGGAGCAAGGCACTGGAAGACCCCTCCCCAAAGGGGTTGCTCTGAGAAAGGCAAGGGGTTTGGCCTCGGTCCCACCTCATGAGCCAAACAAGACACATGTCCACCTCCACCATGCCCCCCTCTGGGCAAAGAGGGCAGTGCTTTCTCTGGGGTCTTTCTTCCCACTTCCTTCCACCCCCACCCCACTGCCACCTTATGCTCTCCTCCTGACCAGCTCAGCTCAAGGGGCTTGTACCCAAAACCTGCAGTACCCCAGAGGGAGGGGCATCAGGGAACCAGGGAGGCAGGAGGGGGCCTAAAAGTGGGGGACTCCTTAAAATGAGAGGTGCCTACTCCAAAATGAAGGCTTGGAAAAGCATGGCCACATATCTCCCTTTGCCTGGGTCCTTTGCCTCCAAGACTGGCTGTGGCTCCAACCTTTACTGGGCTTGGGGACCTGGTGGGTGGGGTGCAAGAACCTAGCCCAGGGCCCAGAACAGGTCCCGGAGGACACTTGGTCCCACGGTGAGCTCCTGGGTGGACTTCTGTTGTCAGGGACTAGGCGGTGCTTTCCTGCAGTTCCCACTGTGCGGCCATGGGGAGCACCTTCCTCTGTCCTTTTTGTCACAAGGAAGTATCACTTAGCCTTTAGGGCAGATCCCTGCCTGTCCCCATCCCAGGCCCCAGGCCCGCCCTGCCCATGATGCCCCGAATGGCCGCCCGCTCACCCTTTATCTCCCTGCCTGTCTTCCTCTACTCCTCTAAGCCCAGGGCCTGGTCGTGTTTCTCTGTGGCCAGAGCCGGAGGCACTGAGATGCAGAAAGAACCAGCACAAACAGGCCAGCAGATAGGAAGAGAGCTGCACAGGTGGAGGGACAGCAACAGGAGGCAGGGGGCCTGAGAAGCCCTGGCCAGAGGAGACCCTGCCCTCTTGGAAGAAGGAACAGCAAGAGGATCTGCTGAGGCCCAGACACTCATGGCATGCAGGCCCCTAGAAAGCTGCTGGAGTCTGCTCTGTGGCTGGCTTGGGGGTTCAGCCCTGAACAAGACTTCTGCTGCCCTCCTGGGGCCCCCTGTCATGGACAAATGGCTCCACCTATTGGGGTTTTAGCTGACTCATCTGTAAAATGGGGATGGTAAGGGGCACACCCTCTGGATATTGTGAGGCCTAGTGAGGGAGGCATGCAAATCTCCTGACACAGGAGACCCGGGTGTACAGTGGACCATGTGGTGTGGCTGTGAGGGTGAGCTCTGGGACCTAGTGGGATGAGGGCACACGGCTGGCTCCCAGGCTCCCGCTCATGGCTGCAGGGCCCGCTGAAGCAGGTGCTCGTCTGCCACCTCGTGCGGAAGGGTCACTGCCAAGCCCTTGCTCTCCTGCATCATCTGGCAGATGATCTCGTAGGCCTTCTGGTTCCCGGACCAACAGCGGCGAGCCACCTGCCGGCAGGGCATGGAAAGGAGGGGACAGCTCTTGGTGCCAGTATCACCGGGCTCCCACCCAGGCATTCTGGACACACTCCTGCCCTCTTCCACTTTGGGACCCTCCATGCTATCTGCAGGGCCAGCAGCCTTTCGCATCTGCTCCGCTGCCCCTCCCCAGCTCAGCCCTCTCCTCTCCTGGCCAGACCACTTCTTTACCGGCCCCTCTGATCTGAAACTCGCTGTCCTGTAGCCCACCCCATCTCCAAGAACATGCTCACCTCCACGCAGGACACCAGGCCAAGCACCCAGAAGTCATCCTTGGAGAACCCACACATCCCTCAGATCTGCCTTAAAAACCCCCCAGGCTGGGTCTTCCTCTCCATCTCACCATCAGAGCTCCCCCAGACTGTGGTCATGGCGCCTCCCCTGCCCCCGCTGCCACTCCCACCAACCCCCACCAGCATGCCCCCAGACCCCACCCACTCCCTCACTGCTGCACCACCTTCAGAATGAGGGCCACCTGGCTCTGCTGGGGGTCACAGGGACCCCTCACTCTTCGGGGTTGAGCTCAGCCTCCAGGACCCCCGACAGTTGGACTCCAAGCCCTTGTGTGGGGCTCTGCAAGCCGCCCACCCCATTCCACTCCTGTCTGCTGACACACATCCTCCCCTGTTCTGCCTGGCTTCCGATTCGTGCTGCTTCCCCCTCAGCGCTGCTTGTGATGTGGTCGTAGACTGGAAGGAAGCCCACAGCATGGTCACATGCACACAGAGAAGCAACTGTGTGATGGTAACAGTTCATAGCCACACTAGCTTAAGAAGCTGCACTCTGACCCACCTTCAGAGATGGAAAAATAATGCTATAAAAGGAGGCCTCTCAGCACTGGCAGTGGGGTGCTGGCACCATGAGGGAAGGGTTGGGACAGCCAGGACCCGTGTGGAGAGAGGCTGGGCTGGAGCAGAAAGACCAGAGGCAGGGGACAAAAGGAGACCCTGGGGCAGCCCAGGAGACAGGAGAGATGTGGGCAAATGGTGAGGAGGGAGCCCGGCAGTGGCTAGAGAAAGACACAAGGAAGGGCTGGCTCCCGACTGTCTGCTGGGAAGGAGGGGAGCAGAACTCTGATCCAGGTCTGTGGCCTCAAGAGGCCTGGCCACTGACAGGGAGGCAAGGCCAGGGGGTGGCCTGGGTGACTTACTCCATTGGAGACGTCCCAGCTGAGCATCATCCTGGCCTTGTGCTCAGCCTCCGGGGTCCCGTCCAGCACGAGGCCAAAGCCCCCATTGATCACCTCACCCCTGCAAGAGGCAAAGAGGTCTCCAGACCGCTCCCAGGCCCCACCCCGCCAGGAGCAGGCAGAACCCCATGCATCTCTCCGAACATTCTGGAGGCCTTGGCTCAGACGGCAGAGGCAGCAGGTTGGACCCTGCCGCCTGCAGCCCACAGCCTGCTCTCTCTCGGCTGCCTAGGGGACGTGCGAGTCACTCTGCTCAGGGTTGTGGGCTACAGCTCCTGCCTCTGGTCTTTACCCCATCCACTACAGAGAGTCACTTCCTCCACAGTTCTCAGCACTTCCTACAGGTGCCCTTCCTGGTGGGGTCTCTTGCATTGCTCAATCCCCTCTAATTCCTCCTGATTTTGTCTTTAGGCTCTTTACTTCCCCTCTCTTTTTCCTGCCTGCTTTATGTGTAGTTAGGGGTCCTGACCACTTGGTTTGAAGGGGAGTTCACTTCCTTTCAGCATTTTCTGCTTGCTAATGAATGCATGTTGGGGGGTGCCATGTGGACCACCTCCTCTCACAGGTATAGTGGTTCCTTCGAGTCTTAACCGTGTCACCTGAATCTTCCTGAAGTATGATGGCGCTATCCCGCCTGCCTTACGTTTGCTGGGAGCTTGTTCTCTATCAGCCATGGGGACCCTCTCCTTCCTGGTGAGCCTGGACCTCTGTCCTCACCCTCGTCATCATTATCAAGGCCTGCTGTCCAGCCAGACCCGGCTGCTGTCCCCACCCAGCCCATGACGGCACCCTGCATCCCCCCTCTGGTTACGCACACAGGAAAAGCCCTTGATCTTGCCAGCACTTGCCAGGACTCTACTACTAAACCCACACCCCGGGACCACAGCACCTGGCCTTTCAGGCCCCCTTCCAGTGAATTTGCACTTTCTCCTTCCTGACCTGGAAGGTGCAGCTAGTTTCTCTGGGCTCGGGTGCTTCAGACCCATCCCACCTTATATGCTTCTCTGCCCACTTTGGACCCTACTGACAATTTCAGCCAGTTGCCATCTAGAAGTGAGGAGCCCTCTGCCCTGGGAGCCACCATTGTACCCCATCAGGGCACAGAAGCTGAAAACCCTTGCACATGGGCCAGCTGCCCCTGCCCTACCCTCACCTGCATCCCTGGGCCTGCAAGTTGGCTCCCACCCCAGCTCCCACCAGCCTCTAGGGTACAGGATACTTTGAAGAGATTGAAACTCGTCACCATCCACTGTCAGAGGCTGATATTGGGTGTCAGAGGAGAAAGAGGGCGGCAGCCACAGTCGCCAAGCAAGGACCTCAGTGTGTCCTTCAACCAGAGAGTTCTTTGGAAGGCTGGAAGTACATCTTTCATCTGGGAGCCTGAAGCCCAGATGGCCAGAGAGCAGAGCTGCTCAGCTCCAGGAGACATCAGCAAACCCTGACCAAGGAGGAGCCTGGACACACATCAACCCCAGGGGACCGCATGGTCAAGGTGGCACCACTGGGGGAGCAGTGGGGTCTCTCACAGAGGCTGCTGGCACACCTGGATGTTCCCTTGAGAAACACGTAAAATCACAAGCCCACATTGCACGTAAAGAACAATAAGGACCAGATGTACAAAGGAAGGAAATAGTCACAATCATAAGACGAATAAAGAAGATTTAGGAGCATGTTTTTTCATAACTCAGGAATGTGTCTATGTGTGTGGGTGTGTGTGGTGGGGGGGTACTTTAAAGCAACATTTAGAAAACAAAGAGCCCGAATAGAAAAGTCACTGGATAAAGATGGAAGTCCCCTGTGGGGAAGGGGGCCCACCCAGGTACCCCTTCCAGAAAGCCCTGCTGTGGGGAAGGCGGTTAACTCACAGGCCCCAGTGACTCCTTCGGGTCCTCCCGGCACAGAGACTGAGCGCTGCCCTCGCCTGCGGCCCGGCCCTTCCTGCCCCAGGCAGGCTCCTCCAGGGGCAGTCTTGGCTCCAGAGCTCCCTGCTGGGTGGCATGCCTGCCGGGTCTGCATGAGACTGTGGGTCCCCTCACCCTGCTCCCCTCTTCCTTTCCAGGTGTCTCTGCAATCAGCCTTTTGCACACTCCCAGCTCCGGCTCAGGTCGGCCTCCTGGAGAACCCTGCCCACACAACTCCTATAAGCAGAGTTCAGAGACACGGAGAACGGATGGAGGAGGCTGGCAAATCAATGAGAAAAAGCCCATGACTCAAAGACAAAAATCTGTGGTGAACAGTACAAATCAAAACAAAAAGGGCTTGTTGCTTCCCACCCACCAGCCTGGCAAGTACCGTGTTTAAAAGGGTGATAACACCCAGGGTTGGCGAGGTTACACAAACAGGAATATTTATATGGGAAAACTGGATGGTAGCTCTCAAAGAGTAAAATGCCCATCCTTTTTGAATCTGCGATCACAAAGAATGCACGCACATGATAAAGGTTAGCATTTATGGGAGTTGTGCCACGTGTCAGGCCCTGTTCTGGCTCCCTCGCAGTGATCTGTGGTAGGTTAGCGCCTGCCTCCTGCAAACTGAGCTCACTGTGAAATCCAGGCAGTTACTGACCTGTTCTGCTCAGCACTTATTTCTAGATGACACCGTTGTGGCAATTAGAGGAGCTACCACGTAAGTTTAGTCCTTGCACATTATGCACTATATAAGGTTAGCTAGTCACTCATTCAACCCTGTCACCACTAGGCTGCACAGCAGTTGTTACCATTTTTTGATGGGAAACAAAGCTCAACAAGCTTAACTTGTGCAGATTGACTTCAGAATCCACACTCTTTATTGTGCTACAAAAATACAGGTGAAGATGCTCCCCATTGTGCTGGGCGGGGTGGCAAAGAGGTCTATGGGCGCACATGGTGAGAACCCTCCTGGCTCCGAGTGGCTCTCGGGCCCCCAGAAGCAGCACTGTCTGGGGGCTACTTGGGTCTGCTGAGTCTCAGCCCCACTCCAGATCTGCGAGACACAGTCTGCATTTTAACAAGCTCCTTGGAGATTCCTATGCATGTTCAATTTTGAGATGTGACCTAAGACATTGTGTGGTAGAAAAAGAAGTCAGTATATAGGTAAAGATGGCAGATCAAATAAATACATTTATTCCTCAAAGTCATGGCTCCCCTAGGGCTGGATCTGAGTGTGATGACAGAAGGCAGTGCGGAGGGTGACACGGCAAACAGGAAAACACAGGGACTGAGGAGAGGTAGTGAGGTCTGTCCCTCCCACTCAGCCCCCAGGCGCCCTCCGTAAAGGACAGGAGACCAGAACAGTCTTCACGGGCCTGTCCGGCCAGCCTGACACCAGAGGCTGACCTCTCCTGCTCTGCAGCCCCTGGCCCAAAGGTGTATGAGTACCCAGGGCTGTGGCGGGCCCATTGGCACGCTCTCCTGAGCAGACAGACTGCCAGCAAGACAGGCACCAAGCAGGCAAGCAAAGGGGCTCCGAGGAGACAGAGGCAACAGAGGGGCCAAAGAAGGACCCACAGCTGATGTCATCTTGAGACAGGGAACAGTGGGTGTAGTCAGAGTAGGGTGAGGGCCTCCAGGAAAAGCAGGGCAGAATGTTTAGTCAGAGCAATGTAACAATGGGCAAAGAAGTCCCTATTGAAAGTCTGTCCTAAGCATTATGCAAGGTCAAGGTCACACTAATTCCCTAGGGTAAAGATACAGACATCTTCAGTGAGATTAGTTAAAGGTCAAAGGGCTGGGAACAACTTGGCCTGAAATGTTTGAGTGTTCTGCAAGGGTATCAGCATAACCAGTGACTCCGCTATCAGCCCTAGCAATCAGACTATGACCCAGGCCATGCTGAGGACAGGGCAGGTGATGCAAGTCCACACCCCTAAGTTTTTTTCATGTTCTCGAAAAATCCTCAACTGCCTATAACACCCTCTAGACAACGCACCACTACGGACTCTCTTGTCCCCTCCTGGCATGAGCCAGGAGCTCCGTCCTTTCACTTTATCTCTAAATAAAAGCCTGTACCTTGCTCTTCTACCTTGAGTGTTTGCGAAGCTCATGCGTCGGCTTCGTGAACAAGAACCCCGGCATCAATCTTGGAAACATAAGTGCCCCAAAACAGGGAGCCAATAGACAAAATAAAACTGAAAGCAAATCAAGAAGTGAGACAGGGACCATGGACTTAGACAGAGTAGGGTGAGGGCCTCTGGAAAAAGCAAGGCAAGACATTTACAGTCAAAGCAATGTAACAATGTCAAGTCCCTATGGAAACTCTGTGTTCAGCATTATGCAAAGTCAAGGTCACACTAATTCTCTAGGGTAAAGATACCAGACTAGGAATATGGACATTTTTAGTGAGATCAGTTAAAGGTCAAAAGGCCAGGAGCAACTTGGCCTGGAATGTTTGAATGTCCGCAAGGGTATCTCAGCATAACCCATGACTTCACTGTAAACAGCCCTGGCAAACAGACAACAGCCCAGCCCACCCTGGGGGCAGGGCGGGTGGTACAAGTCCACATCCTAAACCCTCAGTTCCCAAAAATCCTCAACAGCCTATAAACCCCCTAGACAACGCACCACTACGGACTCTCTTGTCCCCTCCTGGCATGAGCCAGGAGCTCTGTCCTCTCACTTTATTTGCCTGTACCTTACTCTCCTACCTTGACTGTTTGTGAAGTTCATTCTTTGGCTTCGCAAACAAGAACCCAAGCATCAGAAGTAGCAGGATGAGCTTATAACTCAGAAACAGGAAAGGAAAAACAGAGCTGAAGGGTTGGAAGTGGTTTCCATTGGGACAGATTTTTTTTCTTTTTTCTGATTTCTGGCAATAAACCTTGCGAGAATGCCTGATGGGGGTCCAAGGTGAACTTGAGGTACTTTCCTAAGAGTCCTTGAGAACAGCCAGGATAAAGGGCACTGGTGCCAGCATCCCACGGGACTGTGTCCCTGCCTGTAGAGCCGTGGGGTGGCAGCAACTTGGGAATTGCCAGGGAACATCCTTCTCGGGAGCCCCATGTTCAGGGGGACAGTGGCAGGCTACGCCCTGTCTAATTCTGGCCCTGCTGCCCTCTGTCCTGAGGCCCTTGTGTCATGGACACTTTCTGGGGCCAGCTCTGCTCTACCTCGTCTTGCCTCTGCTGCCCCGTGGGCAAGGCTGGGTGGATCCTGGGGGACCACAGATCTGGGTTAGGAGCCCAGCTCCACCACCAGCTCTGTGGCCTTGGGCCACTCAGTCTCTGAGCCCCTCCTTTGCCTCTGGGACTGACTCTGCAAATCCAGGGCCGAGGAGCCAGGTACCAAACAACCAGGCACTCCTCTGCCCTGGGTTTCTCCAGCCTGTGCTTCAGAAGGAACATGCACTCCGGTCACATTTTCCATTACTTAGAGACACCTGACTGGGCTGCAGCCCGGCATTCTGGCCTTGAAAGGCCAAGGCTGGCTAGCTCGCCAGAATGCTCTGGGAAGCGCCAGCGCTGAAGGACTTGGCACTGGTTGAGGCCAGGATGGATGCGGCCAAAATGGGCTCCGAGGCGGTTCGGGGATGGCCTGGCCTGAGACCTGTCCTCGTCTCCAAAGCTGCAGCGCCCCCTGCTGTTCCAAGTAGCCCGGGCTCCAACCTGGCCCTGGAGCCCGGCAGAGACGGCTTCACCGCCTGACCCCCGGCAGAGGCAACCCGTGTGAGGGCAGCTACTTAACCTCAGGAGCCTCAGTTTTCTCATCTGTAAAATATATTTCCTTTCTAAGATTAGGTACGAGAGTGGAATCAGAGTTCAGCAAATGCTTGCCGCATGGTCCACGTGCAATAAATGTTAGTTATTCATTATCCTTGGCAGTAAAAGTAATATTGTGGCTTAGAATTAGACTTACATATTTGGTCTTTGTCCAATTTCTAGCTCACAGCTCCTAAAGCTGTTGGAATTTTCTAAGTGCAGAGAGCCATCTGGGCGACTTTTGTTATGTTAATGACGTGACTTCTGGAAAGCCCCCACCCCACCCCAAGGAAGGTGGCTGAAGGCTGGGGGACCAACCCTGCAAGCCCTGGAGGGTTGCAAGTTCAGTCCCACCCCTGACCTCCAGGGAGGGGCGAGGGGCTGGAGGTCGAACCACTCGCCTTGGCCAGTGATTTAATGACTCATGCCTGTGTAGTGAAGCCTCCATAAAAACCTGAAAGGACAAGGATCAGAGAGCTTCCAGGCTGGGGACCAGGCCACTTCCCTGCACCACTGCACAGGACCAGGACCACACAGGTCAGAAGCTTCTTTGTTCAGGACCTCACTCTATGTATCTCTCTGGCTATTGATTGGTATTCTTTCATATGCATTGTAATAAATCAGTAATCTAGTGAGTTAACTGATATCCTGAGTTCTGTGAGCCACTCTCAAAAGGCAGGGAACTCAAGGAGGGAGTCAGCAAACCTCTGATTTATTACCACTCTGTCAGAAGCACAGGTAACACCTGGACCTGCGACTGGCATCCAAAGTGGGGCAATTCTTGTGGGACGGAGCCTTTAACCTGTGGGATCTGATGCTGCCTCGAGTAGAGAATGTCAGAATTGAGTTGAATTGTAGGACACCCAGCTGATGGTGGAGAATTGCTTGGTGATGTGGGGAGCCCTCACAGGTTGGATTAGGGTGCAGATTTATAGCAGACATGTTCGTGATGGAACTGCAACTGTCACCTGAATACTCTCCCAGAAACCCCAGTTTCCTCCTGGTGCACACTGGAAACAGGCCCCAGCAGAACAAAGCTGTGGACAGGAGCCAGGTAAGCCCAGAACCCAAGTCTCCCTCCTCCCCACCCAGCCACCCGGGAACCTCAGGTGGAATGAACAGATCTGGGCCAGGGCAGCACCGTGAGGATTCCTGGGGAACGGACAGGAAAGGTGCCACCGCTGTCCTTGCAGCACCCGCAGCACGTGTGACAGGTGGTGTGACAGGTGAGACCCAGAAGTTAGAGTGTCTTGGGCCCTCTGATTTCCAGTTTATGTGAGGAACACATCACAACAAAGGCATTAGCAGAGCGAGCTCTGGTGGTGGGGAGCAGGGCCCAGGACCCTCAGGGAATTCCTGAGACTTCCATGTCAGCCCACACCAGCGCCGCCTGGTTCTCCAAAACCTCCTTACCAGCCGACTCCCCCGCCATTATGAAGAGCCACCCAGGTGGCACCACGAAAGGCATCTCCCACGAAGTTCTGCACCGCCATGTCTGTGGACACAGAAGCCACCACCCATCATTCTCTGAACAAGGTGGGTGGGTGGGCATCCCCTGGCTCCTCTGCTGAGCCAGCACCACCCAGGCCTGAAGGACAGATGGGGAACTAGGGACAGACTTCAGAATAGCAAAGATGCATGTCTGCAGAGCCAGCAAAGCAAGAATATTGACAAATGCCCAGCTACCCACTATTATCCTTCCCTATAGTTATGCTCTCTGGCACTGAATGGCAGATAGCATGCCCCAGAGTCAGAAAGAACAAAAGAATTAAAAGGAAGATGGTACTGATTTTAGTTCAGAGAAGTAGTGTCCAAGAGTGCCACTCCCACCCTTAAAACAAACAAACAAAAACAAGGGTTGGGGACAAGCTGTAAATTAATGACCTTCCTTGGTCCCATCACAGAACTGAAGTCCCAGAGCAACTAGCAAGTCTAGGGAGAGACAAGTGCTTACACAGAGAAACAGCACTCAGGCAGGTCACCTTACAAGTGTAACAGAGTGCTAAAGGACAAATGTGAGCTCGCTTAAGACTGTGAGGCCCCTGGGACACAAACTTAAGGAGGTCTGCACACTCTAGCAGGCTCTTTCTCCAAAAACCCTACTGTGTGCTCTCAGAGTAGATCAGGGAGAATCCTGAGATTGCTCTTCTCCTGGTGCCGGCCTGTGAAATGCAACAAATGCAGGTCTAGAATCTGGTAAAGGACAGGAGATTCTCCCCAGGGGCCCTGCCAATTTGACATTAGCCACTGAAACTAATTTCAGACCTGTGACCTTCAGAACTGTAAGAAAATGCATTTGTGCTTTTTTAAGCCAACAAATTTGTGGTGATTTGTTATAGTGGTGGTAGGATACAAATATAAACTATATTAATATCAGAGAATTTCAGAGCAAGCAATATTATCAGGGATAAAGAAGGACATTTCATAATGATAGGTCAATTCTTCAAGAATACATGATAAATCTAAATGAATGTACACCTAACAACATAGCTTTAAAATACATGACACAAAAATGGGTAAGAACTGAAAGGAGAAACAGACAAATCTTCAAGCAGAATAGGAGACTTCAAAAAAGAGACATCCTTCTCTCTTAGCAACCACAAAATCAGAGTGGCCACAGCAAAACACAGAGGAGCACATTTCCAGAGGAGTCTACTGTCCGGATTCTGCACAGCCCCCACTCTGGTGGGTGAGACTGTCAGTCAGGCAGCATTTGGGAAAAAACATCTCTTGTGTCCTTAGGAGTTTCTGGTGATTTATTATTGTGGTGGATCAAAACGAGGACTCTATGACTCTTTGTTTTCATTATTAAAGTGTATCCTATAGAAAAAAAAAAAAGAATAGAAGACTTCACTACTCCTACCCCAGAATTTATGGGACAAACAGGCAGAAAACCAGGAAGGATCTAGATGACCACAATAGCAACCAACCTGACCTAGCTGACACATAAAGATCCCCTAAATTACAGCAAAATATGTGTTCTTCTCAGTGCACCAACATAGGCCATATTCCATGTCACAAAACAGCCCTTAATAAACTTAAAAAGAACAGAACAAATACAAGTTAAGTTCTCAAACTGGAATGGAATTAAACCAGAAGTCAGTGACAGAAAGATGTCTGAAAAATCTCCCCAACTTGGAAATTTCAATACACTAAATAACCCACAGGTCCAAGAAGAAGCTGCAAAGGGAATTTTAAAATACTTTGAACTGAATGAAAATGAAAATAGGTAAAAAGGTATAGGATGCGGCTAAAGCAGCATTTAGAGGAAAATTTATAGCATTAAATACTTGCATTAGAAAAGAAGAAGCCTTCAAATCAGTAACCTTAGCTTCTACCTCATGAAACCAGAGAAAGAAGAGCAAATTAAATCCAAATCAAGCAGAAAAAAGAATATACTAAAGTTTATAGCAGAAATCAATTAATTTGGAAGCAGATGAGCAATAGAAAAAAAATTAAACTAAAACTTCTTTTTTGAGAATATCAATAAAATTGATAAACTTCTAGCCAGACCGACTAAAGAAAAAGAAAAGATTTCAAAGACCAATATCAGAATGATAAAGGGGACATCATAACTCACCCCACAGGCATTAAAAAAACTAATAAAAGAATATGACCTATACCCACAAATTCAATAATTTAGATGAAATAGACCAATTCCTTGGGAAAAAAATAGTGCAGATGGTATTCCTGAGTGTCCATCTCCTTCCTCTGGGATCCCGTCTGTAACTGAAGGACTCCTCAAGGGCCAGGAACGAGAAAGCTATGCAGGACTAGAACCAGCAGCTTCTGTGATGGCTGGAATTACAGTGGGTGTGGTACCAGCAGTAGAAACAGCAGCTGCTGCTTTGAACACTGGCCATGGGACACTGATCCAGTCCTGCATGTGCACTAATTCATTTAATTCTTTACAACAACCTTCTGAGTTTTCTCCTTTTACAAATGAAGGAACTGAGGCTTACAGACTTTAAGTGCCTTGCGTGGCCAGGCACACACCCAAGTCTAGAACATCCAACTGTCCCATTTTGCTGGGCCCTGGCCCAGTTTTAAAGCCAGAGTTCCCATAGCCCAGAATCCGCTCCATCCTGGGATGGTCACCCTATGCCACATCTCTTGAGGCATTTTTCATTTTTCAAGACATCATAACTCACTGGATGAATCAATTGATTTTTAAACAAAATCAAATCCAGCATTTTAAAAAAGGTGTTTTTTTTTTAACCTTTTGCCTTCCTCACCTGCACAGAAGGCAGAGCCGTCGTAAATGTTGGAGGTCTCCCGGAAGGGGCTGTCAGTGCCACTCACATCATGGTGGTCTCGGCTCAGGACCACTGGCGCCTGCAGCGGGGATGGATACAGGATGTCTGCCAACGATGTCCACCACGGCTGCCCAGAGGAGGTGGCGGTGCAGGGCCAGGGCCCTCCCCCTGGGGGGTAGACCTTCCGCAGCAAGAGGCGGCAGAGACTTTTCTAATAGACTTCACATATTATGTGCTTAGGACAAGCTAACGTAGAGGAGTCGCTCAACCAGGTGTTGTTGAATAAACAAATGGTTAAAATGCCCAGGTCTCTGTGCAGCCTGGAAGCGAGGTGCCTAGAGGGACGGTCTGGCCGAGCTGTACCAGCCATCTTCCTAAGCCCAGTGGGCTTTCGGGAAGTGCTGGGGGCTGCCACGCTCCACTGCTGCCCCCCGGGATGGGCTGGGGGCTGCTCGCCTTGCTACCAACACCACCTGGAGCTGCCCACAGCCAGTCAAAGGATGGCCCTCACATCCGTCTATCTTGATTTCCTTTTCATATCTGGTTACAATACTCCTGGCACTTCCGCCCAGAGGATGCAAATAAGAGCTCTGCAGCCTGGGCCTATGCAGCAGAGCCACAGGCCCCTCCGAACAAGCATGCCGAGCTCCAAGTCCTCGACAGTGGGCCCTGCTGACTCAGAGGAAGATGAGGGGAAAGCCAGGGAAGTTTGTCATGGTTTGACAAAAGATAATTTAAGAAAGATGCATGAAATACTTGTGAGAAAGCCAATTCATTTAATCCTCACACCCGCGCTTCAAGGGTAAGATTATTCTCCTTTCAGAGAAGACAGAGACTGCGGCTCAGAGAGGGCACCTGACTTTGCCAAGGTCACACAGCAGGGTCAGTGTCAGACCCTGAGCTTGGGGACAGGACTGCCAACACCCAGTTATGGCCCCCAATGTGACACAGATGCAAAACTGGGGTCCCGGGCAATGTGGTGCTGACAGAGGAGCCTGCAGAGGCCTCCCACCTTGATCTGCCCGTGGGCGATGGCATGATTGAAGGCCACAGCGATAGCCACACGGCCTTTCTGGTCTGAGTACAGGATCCTTGCCTGGGAGCCCACCACCTGCAGAAAGGAAAGAAGAGGCACCTCAGTGACCTGCTGCAGAGGGGGAGACTCAGGTGACTTACCCAGCAGCCAGGTGGTCCCTTCCAAGTGTGTGGTGGCTCTAAAATCCATGGGCCCTCATGTCCAGCCCATGTGCAGCCACACCAGCCCCCTGTGTGTCCTCATGCAGCCTGGACCCCCAGACGTCCTCCCAAAATCCATCACCTCAAGGGTTAACCCCTGGAGGGGCCTCTGAGACCCTGACTCGCCCATCTCCAGGGATGTTACTTATGAGCACAACCCTACTTGAGTCCCTCCAATAATAATATTAACCCCACCTCATGCAATTTTTGATTATGCATGGCACAACTCCAGGTCCTTTGCACGTAATCACTCACTAGTGACTTTATGAGAAAGATGCTGTTAGCCTGATCTTTGGCTTCATTTTACAAATGAGGAAACTGGGGCCTGGACAGCAACCTGCCCTGGCCATCCAGGCAATAGGTGGTGTGAGCTCACAGGTGCTCAACAACCAGGGCAGAGCACCTCTGAGGGTAAAGCAGTGGTTGTAAGGAAGCAAAGGCTTCAGGAAATGAAAAGGAATCATTGTTTAGCAACAGTGGTTCTCAGCTAGGATGGCATTTGGCAGTGGCTGGAGATGGTTTTTGGTGCTGCTGCCATGGCATTTTGGGGTGTGGCTGCTGAAAAACCACCTACAATGCCTCCCCACCATGCCAAAGAATTACCCAGCCCCCATGGGCTGGGAGGATGGGCGCACCATGCTCATAGCAGCATTACTCACAATGGCTAAAACGTGGAAACAGCCCAAGTGTCCATCAATGGATGAATGGATAAGCAAAATGTGGTTTAGGCATACAATGGAGCATTATTCAGCCTTAAAAAGGAGGAAATTCTGTTGATTCTGTGACAGAATCAATATGGATGACACTTGAGGATATTATGCTCAGTGAAATAAGCTGGTCACAAAGGAACAAATACTGTACGATCCCACTTTTATGAAGTCTGTGGACTTCATAGAGACAAAGCAGAATGGGGGCTGCCAGGGGCCGGGGGAAGGGGTGTGAGTGTTTCTGGGGACAGAGTTTCCATTTGAGAAGACAGAAGAGTTTGGAGATGGATGGTGGGAATAGTTGTACATAATGTGACTGTGCTTAACCACAGAATTATATCTTAAGAATGGTTAAAGTGATACATTTTATATTAATGTATATTTTGCCATAAGTGAAAACAGAATGAAAGAATTATCTGGCCCCAAATGTCAGTAGTGCTGAGGCTGAGAAGCCCTGTTTCTCCAGAGAGGAGGCAGGTGTTTCCCCAGCTGCCTGGCCAGCGGGTCCGGGGCTGGGGTGGGCAGGGCAGGAGCTGGTGTTGGGGCTGGCCTTGCGCCTGACCAGGAGCCGAGTCTTGGCCACCAGCTTCGCCAACACCATCAGCCCAGTGGCTTCTTGCTGCCTCAGGTTTTCTTTCAAACCACCTTACTTTACCCACACCAGTCACCATAACCCTTCTAGGACAGACGGGTGCCAGTGGGCACAGCAGAAACTTTCAGATTCCTTGGACCCTAGAGGGTAAACTGGGGAGAAACCAGCACGGGTCCGTCAGCTTTGCCAAGACCGTACATTAAAAAAACTCAATTAAAACTTTCAAAAGGACGCTCCTTCTGTGATCACCATCTTCCAGGAAAGAAAGAGCAGCATGAAATAAGCAGGGAGACCACGATCTGTGAAGAGCTTTAACTCAAACGTACAAGAGAGACTGCTGCCCATCCTGCCTAGATCAGGATCCCCCACCTCCCGCCCGCAGCGGTCTCCCTCATCTCCATCTCCACCGTCCGGCCCCTCCCTCTAGGCCCACCTCCACAGTGGCCCCACACATTTCCACCTCCAGCTTGGTCCCCAAGCCCCGGGCCCCCAGGCCTAAGGGCTGCTGGACGTGGGCAGCTCAGCCCCCGGGTGGTCACAGAGACCTCTGTCATCACGAGGGCTTTCGTGGCTGAAACGCACGTGCAAACCTCTGGGCAAGGAGGCGGCGGCAGGTTGGGTGGACCTTGCCAGACCACAGAAGCCCAGGAGAGGGGTCCAGTGAGCAAGGCAGTCCCCTCCTGGCCCTGCGACCAGAGGCCGAGGACACACTAGTCCAGCCATGGGGGCAGCGTCTGGTTATTGGTGTCTGTGGCCAAAGGTGTGTGAACCAAGAGCCCAGTTTCCATTTGCCCTTTGGCTGCAGCAAGCCTGCTGCCACCTGAAGGCCTTGGCTGGTACCCCTGCCTCCCCTGACTGTCACATGGCTGCTTCCCCGCCCCCTGCCCCTGGCATTTACACCAAAGCTCACATGTCAGCCCCTCAGAGACACCTTTCTGTTGGGTCTGTATAGGCAGCCCACCCACGTCACTCCAGTCCTTGTTCACCATCATGCAGAAGAGGCAGTGGTGTGCCCATCTACTCAATGGCCCTGGCAGTGCCTCATGCAGAATGCCACAGAGGACCTGCCCCAAGCACACAGCATGGCCAGGACGCAGCTACCCTCACAGCACCTCCCCCATGGGCATGACACAGCAGGCTCAGAGAGGCTGAGCCACTCACTCTAGGTCACATAGCTGAGAAGCCAGGAGGCCTGGCTCCCAGGCCCTGTAGGGGCTGCCTCTGAAGACAGCTATTTGTGGAGTAACCAGTGAAGAACCTGACTGGCCCTGGGTGCTGCCCCAGAGACCCAGGTCACCTCTTAAAGGCCCCAGCTTCTTTGCCTAGCAGGCTCCTGGGTGGGTGGGGCTGCCGCCTCCTCAGAGGCCAGTGGGGCAGCCACCTGCACTGTCTCACGGGAAAGTGGGCATCCTCCAGGTGCTCATCCAGTGGCCAGGCCATGGCAAGGAGCACCTCACCTCCAGCCAGGCATCTGGAGGCTCACCCTGCCTCCACCGGCCGAGCCCTCACCAGCTGGTGCTTGGCAGCCTCCCGGATCCAGCGGATGTTGTCCACATACTGGAGCTTCACAGCCGGGTTCACTGCAGGGCGAGAGGGGGAAGGTGTCCCCGGGAGGCCCTGCCCCGTGGGGGGCGCAGACCCTCCAGCAGGTTGCTCAGCACAGGCTCCCGGCCCACACTCTCACTGGAGCCGGGACATGGTGTCAGGGAGCCCGCACGCCCACACCACACCAGGCCAGCCGACTCCAGAACCAGCAGTCCCAATGGTCATGTGGAGCAGTGCCCGGACCCAATACAGTCATCACCTCCACAAATATCTATTGAGTGCCTACTGTATACCAGGCACAGTGCCAGGCACTGGGAACAGACAGTTTGAGGCCATGGAGGAAATAAGAGTGTGGTGAGGTAGTCACTACAGTGGTCGGTTGGGGACCGAAGGCTTCTCTGAGGAGGTGACCATCAAGCTACATCCTAAATGTAAGGGGGAGCCAGCTCCACAAAGATCTGATCAAATAGCATTCTAGGCAGAGCAAAGAGCAGGTGCAAAGGCCCTGCAGTGGGAAGAAGCTTGGCCTTCCCAGCAGAACAGACCAGTCAGCCAAAGCACAGAGGGCACAGAGGGGGCTGTAGCTGTGGTGCGGAAGCCGCTCCGACCAGCTCAGGAGAGCAGACTGTTAAATTTGTTAAATCTTTAGTAATTGTGTGACAGTGGTTGACACAGACATCACTGAACTTCCAATTAAATAAACTCATACTTTAAAAGATTTGTACTAAAATTAAAGGTAATACAACTCATCATGTCCTAATCACTGTACTTTTTGACTAGGACCTGTGCTCAGGGCTACTGTGGCATCTGCCTGGTGGAAAGCATGGCTACTGCCCCGTCAGCTGCGCTGGGAGTATTTACAGGCGCCATTAGCAGGCACAACGGCTCAGGGCTTCTTCCCGTGAGCTGGTTGTCAATACCCACCTGCCCGCCTGCTTGCAGCTGAGCAGCTGCTCTAACACCAGAAGCCTGGGGAGGCGAGGAATCCCACCAGATTTCCAGAAGGTCCGGAGTGCCCTTCCTCCCCCGAGGTGGCCCACTGTCTGGCTCTTCCCACACAGGTGGCCTGGCCCACTCACAGTCTGTGTCCGGGGCCCTGGGGCCCTGTAACGGGACCTGCCCCAGCCCACCAGCCTGGATGTGGGCAGCAGGATGAAAATGGCCCCCGGGGATTTAAACAAGCAGAGAGCTGGGGAGAGGGCCCCCTGGACATGTAGGGAAGCCACCGAGGAATGGGAGCAGGAGTTCTGACAGCTGAAAAGTTTCATAAAGTCATGCCTTCTCTGTTCCCTGTGATAAGGGACACATCAAGCCCACTGCTCAAGAGAGGACTGTGGTCAGACAAGGGGCAGGCACAGGTCTAGATGTGGGGCCACCACCACTGTCCACCTGGAAAGGCAGAACCGGTTCTCTCTACCAGAGAAGCCACAGGCAGGCTGCAGAGGCTCAGACACGGGAAAGCAGAGTGGGCCTGAGCTATGTGGTGGCTGATGAGCCAGGAAGGGAGCCTCTGAGATGCCACCCACCCTTGCGCATGTCCCCACCATGGGCCTCACCTCCACCAGCAATGGCCTTCTCCAGCACAGACGTGACCAGCTGATCAGTGACAGCCAGGTCCTGGGGGTCCCCCGACGTGCACACCCAGCGGAAAGGCCCGAATCCCTGGGAGAATATGTCCCTGCAGGCCAAAGTGATCCCTCACCTTGGGCTTCCCAGGCTGGCTGCACCCACTGGCCGTGGGCAGGGGCACCGTGAATCCAGAATGGGAGGCTGGCAGGAGTTCCAGAACTGACAGGCAGTGAAGGCTGTGTGTGGGCTGGGGTGTGTGTTGTGGGGTGCAGTGAATTGAAGACTTCAGCATCCAAAATTGTTGCCGGAAGCCCCTAAGCCACTCACTGGACAGGAGGTTTCAGGTGCTCAGAGGTCCCACCCCCTGCAGCCTCCCGCCCCCCACCCGCCCCTTCTGTCCCCACTCTAGCTCTCTGTCCCCCAGCCCCAGAGCTACACCATCTCCAGCTGCAGGAGTCAGAAGCTGGAACACAGACAAGCAGAAATCCCTTACACTGCTGTTACAAACGCAACCTGAAAACCAGGCTAAAACCAAACTGCGCTGGGGGGGAGGGCACTGCGAGACTCAGCCGGATTCGCCCTAGTGAGCGACCTTCCTAGGTGACCTCGAGCAGGGGGAGGCAGCGGCCTGGGCCCTCCCTGGGCCCCTGCACTCACCCAGCTTCGCAGAGGCTGCCCTCTGCTTCCCTCCACAGAGAGACTCAGCTGCCCCTGGCCCCGCCTCCCCACCCACAATGGACCGGAGAAGCCTTTCTCTCCTCTCTCCCTCTCTGGTCCTGTCTCCCACACACTGAGGGCTGGCATATCATCCAAAATCCAAAAGCACTGTGAGGCCTCCGCCCCCTGCCCCTGCTCACTTAAGCCCAAACTCCTCCTGTCCTGCCCTACTTGTCCTGGGCTGCTGGCCTCCCTGGACCTGCCCCTCAGGGCTGGCAGGCACACCAGCTTCAGGGGATGGAGGCCTTGGCCTTCATGGATCAGGCTGTCAGCTGCCCACCCGGGGCTCAGGGCCCCAGGCAGTGGCCATGGGATGGGCAGCTCCAGGGACACAGCACTTAGGGGGCAGGCCTGCAGAGGTGGGAGTGTTCCCCAGGAGGTGGCCCGGCGGGGGCCCATCACCGCCTCGTTCTCTCACTGCGGCCCCTGCACAAGGGCTGTCACATCTTCAGTTCCTCTGGGGCCGAGGGAGGGAACTCAGTGCATGGCCTCTGCGGTCCTCAGAGGAGGGGCTTTTCTGGCCTGAATGTCCGGGACCCAGACACCGCAAGGGGCCTGCCGCCTACCCCATGATGTGCTGGACATACGAGGGGTAGCGGAATTCCGTCCTGCCGCCGCCTTTCTTCCCCACGTCAGCTCCTGCAGACAGAGCCACCGGAAGTCACCTGCAGGGGCTGAGGGCTGGTGGGCTCACCCCCGGGTAAGAACATACACCACCCTCCCAGTGGCCATCTAAGCAATAAGCCCAGGGAAAGACTGCTGACGTGCTCAGCCCCAAAGGGGAAAAATCAGGGGTATCTTTAGGTCAGAGGAGAGAGAGCAAGTGCAGCCACACAGAGCCTGTTGTCACTGGGGCAGGGCCAGCCGGGCGGCCTCTGTGTCTAAGTCTCCTCATGTCCAGGCACCAGGGCCTGTGAAATCCCAGGGGAGCTGGCGCCGGAGATGTGCCACTGTACACCTTTTGTACCTTCTTTACACCCACGAAGGAATCACCTGTTTTACAGAAGGAAGTTCCCTTCGCAGAAATATCTGCATGGTTTCACACAGGAGTTCATACCACACATCAGACCCACTGTCTCTATAGCACTTTATGTTCTTAAGGCAAGTGAAACTGAGGCCCAGAAAGGCTGAGGACCTGGCAGAACCAGCCTCCAGAAGGCCGGGCAGGGGCCCAGTGAGGCCTGGCTAGACAGTGGGGAGCGAGCCCAGTGCAGCGTCCCAGCCCAGGGAGTCCGGGGCCCCCCACCCAGCATCCTTTCTCTCTCACCCGCTCTCTGGGCCTCCAAGAGGAAGGCATTGCCATAGTCCCAAAAGAAGAAGTTCTCCTTGGCCAGCCTGTTGATGGCTGAGACGTGCCTCCTCAGGCTGCAAGAGGACAGGGTCAGTGGTCAGCTCTGCCCACAGTGGGGCTGTGAGAGCCGGCCCTCCCCACTCCACTGCGGTCACTCCCCTGCTTCACCCCCTGCAGCTCCCTGGCCCTCACCCTGACTTTCAGCCTCTCTGACAGAGGAGGAGACAGGGGCACAGGAAGTCCCCACAGCTGGCCCCTGGAGAACCAGGCAGAGGCCAGAGCTGCCCAATCCAAAAGCTCCTGCTGGCCATGTGCCGCCCCCCATCCCATCTCCCTCCCCCAAGCACCCCTGGACCTGTATCACCTTTCCTGGACCAGGCCTTTGAATGCAGCCGGGTTGGAGGCCATGAGGCTCTGGGCCTCTTCGAAGCTCAGCTGCACGGGGTAGTAACCACCATTGAATGGATTGTGACAGGACGTCTGGTCTGACCCCAGGTCCACTAAGAGCTCCCCGGTTGTGTCCAGTTCATGGACCAGGCGCTCCCTGGGGAAGACGTGGTCAGTGCAGTGGCATCTGCCCAGGCCAGGGGTAGGCACCACCCAGGGCCCAAGTTCTGGACCCAGCCAGGAGGGGACTGCAGCACACTTCCAGTCCACACATCCACCAGGGACGGAGGCAGATCCTACATCCCCACCCGGGAAAAAACCTGGAGGACTGTCCGGCCGAGCAGAGAAGGCAACTGTGAGCTCGTGCCAGGATCCTGGCGTGAACACTGGGAGCACAGCCTCAGAGGACACTTGAAGCTTTGTGTCCTGACCACCATCAGGATCTTGGCTGGAGGGAAAGATTCCCCTGGGGCCCCCAAGGCCGCAAGCTCCCATCCCCCACTTACCAAAGATCAACCACATTGCCGTGGTAACCAAGGCTGAGCACCTCCTTCCTTTTCCTCACTTCCCTAGAAGGGCACAAGAGCAGAGCGGGTGGCTCATCACACCTGCCCGCAGCTGCTCACCCCCAGCAGCGCACAGCAGGCACCAGTCTGGAGAGACTGCACAAGGCCCAGGAGCCGAGCAAAGGACCACAGCACAGGGCTTGCGACGCAGAGACCTCCGAGGTGCATCCTTTGAGGGCCCAGAGCCTTCAGAGATGCAGACTTAAGTGCCCCGGGCCTGGGGAACTCACTTGACAATGCTGACAGCCCTTCTCGAAGGTACTCACAGAATCAGCATTATTACTATGAGAGTTCTAGTAGAGAACTTTCTGGAACTTGTTCAAAGTGATGCTAAAATTTAGACATCACTACAGGTGATTCCAAACATTATTTGGAAAAACAAGAGGTTAAAAAAAAGAAAACATAATCGGGGAAACAAAACATTTGATTCAATAAAAGCCCCCACTGATAGGAGAGGCATCAAAGAGCAACAGTAAGCGAGGCGGTGTGCTGCCCACTCAGAGGTGAGGATGGACCGAACACCGTGCCGGCAGAGGGATGCCAGGGCAGCCGGCAGGCACAGGGAAAAGGAAGCAGGAGGAGGGCACATGGTCCCACAGCAGTGAGGGAGGCCAGCCCAGAGCTGCAGGAGGAGGACCGAGTCGTAGCCGAGGACCAGCTGGGCAGCTGGGAGCCCCAGGGGGGCCCCTCCATCCCCATCGGGGTCTTCTGCAGCTCGGGGAACACAAACGGCGAGACAGCTTAAGGCAGGTTGTTAAAGTGACTCGAACTGATTTTGTGCTGTGCATGTGTGTGTGACAGTAGGAAGCAAGCTGGCCCCAAGTTTGTATGAGTGACAAGCAGGAGAAGGTGGATGGAAGATGGATGTTTAGAGATGACAAAAATATCAGAGTGGTTGGAGGTGTGTGTGTGTGTGCATGCGTACAGGTGAGTGTGTTCAGGATGCTAAACAGCAGTGACGGATAGGAGGAAGATCAGGCAAGACCCTTCAATGCCACACTAGAAGTCTGGACTTTCTCCTAGAATAAGTGGAAAGTTGTCTGAGAGTTTTACACAGGAGTGTGGTGTGGTCAAACTGGCATTTTAGAAAGATCTATGTCCAGAAGGATCCACTCTTGGTAATGGCGCTATTTCTCAAGTTCTGTGTGTACTTGAACATTTTCCCATAAACCCCCATTGTAGCCGGGGTGGAGCACAACCTGGCTGCGGCATCCTCCCCAAACATAGCTCAGTTCTGCAAAGTACATCAATTGACAGGCTTCAAAAAGGCATCAGATCTGCAGCCCCCAGGGCAGTCCTCCCTCATGCACAGGGAGACACTTCCGAGGACATCAGACCGGAGGGAAATATTGCCCACACCACCGTGAATGGCCACAGCGTGAGTCGGGCTTGGGGAAGACCCCACTTCATCAGCTGTGCTGAACCTCATGGGGTCAGGCTGAGGAAAAGCTCCATCCTTCAAAGGCTCGCTTTCCCCAGCAGATTAGATGAGCACCTACATGTGCCGGGCTCTGGGGTGGGCACCGAGGCCACACAGTGAGACACACAGCACACACTCTTGGCAAACCTGTGCCTAAGTATTGGGACCACCAAGAGAACGACAGAAAATCTGCTGGAGCCAAGTGTTTGGCCAGCAGCTTTGTGGCCCCAAGGGTTTCCCGCACACTAGTGAGAGAGCATTTTAGAGGCTCCCTCCTTGGGCATCTCTGTTTGTACAAGGACTCCGGGCGGCCACTGGGTGAGGCAACTGCAGGCCACCTGTCAGGCCCACACAAAGCAGCCCAGCCTCCCTGCTCCTTTGCAAGGTCTCCCCGCTTTCTAATGCTCAGGTCAGGCACTGTACCTGAGTCTTTCAATGCAGTGGTCCAAGCTGTCCGTCACTTCCATCAGCCAGCCCTGCTTGTGGCGTTTTGTGAGGGCTGCCTTATCCACCTGGGACCAGGAGACATGAGGCCACTGAGTCACAAGTGCCCCTGAGTGTATCACCCTCCGCTAGGAAGATGCCACCCCTCACGTAGACCACCCACTTTTGCAGCAGTGTCAAGGCCCGTGCTATGAGCTGCTCTCCAATATCAATTCCACCTCCTACCTTCCTTGCCAACAGGACCTGCATTTTGTTCAGGGTGACACCATGCTTAGCCCCAGGAGATAAACCATGTCCAAGATAATCACCACTACTCTTTCCACTGTTTCCAGCCTTCCTTTTAGATAAGAACTTCCGTTTGAGCCAATACTGACCAATGAGGGAAAAGAAGGGCTTTCTCAGATATTATTTTCCTGCTGGAATCGATTCAGTCATGCCTGGCACTCCCCCTTCTCCCTTCCTGCATTGAATGTAGATGGGATGGCTGGGGCTGGGGCAGCCACTTTGTAGCCATCCGGGAAGCACAAGAGACTCTAGAGATGTTGGCCCTGACATCGTTGAGCTGCTGAACCAATGCCGGCATGACTGGCTTTGTGAGAAAAGAAAACCCTATTAGTGGAAGCTGCCCATAGTCTGGTCTTCTGTTACCTGCAGCCAAACGGGCTCCTACCAAGTACAAGTATGTAAGACACAGGGTTAGTATCAAGTGAGTGCAAATCACAAAGGTGTGTCTCAACCAGGCTTTTCTCAGAGCCCTGCCCTTCTGTTTCCATTTCCTGCCCTTGGCACAGCCAAAGAAAGCTGCAGGGCCCTCAGGGGAAGCTGCCTGCACACCCCTCAGACAGGCGACTTGCTGCTGTCCCACCCAACTCTGAACTGGCAGAGCTGGGGCTGTCTATATTCATTTATTCACAGACATGTGCTGTCTCTCAGCTCTGTCCCAGGGATTCAGTGGGATCTGGTGTCCGCAGAGAGTGATGGAGGTGCATGCTGCCTGGGGAGCCGCTCTGGGAGGCTTGTGGGTGGGGCGGGGGTTGGGGGGAGGGCAGAGGAGAGGGGTGTGGACAGGAGGGGCTCTGGCATAAGGATAGAGGGAGCCGGGCAGAGAGGGGGCTCACCTCCGCTATCACGCTGATGCACCCCACAATGACTGCAGCTTTGGCCTGAGCCCCACTCATTCCGCCCAGCCCAGAGGTGACAAAGACCTTCCCAGCCAGGTCCTTGACGCCCAGGTAGCGACGCCCGGCATTCAACACAGTGAGCTGCAGGGACAGGAAGTGGGTGTTCACTGTCCACTCCCAGCAAGCCTGTCTCGCATCCCATGGCCGGGCAGGGCCCCGTCTCTCACCACAGTGCCGTGGACGATGCCTTGGGGACCGATGTAGCAATAGCTGCCTGCAGTCATCTGGCCGTACCTGACTCCAGAGAAGGCAAGCATGGGGGTGAGCCCAGGGCCAGGCACAGCTTCTCCCAGCTGCACATTTTAGATGGTTTAAGCTTCATTTCTAATTACCCCAAAATGCATTAATACCTTCTACTTAGAAAAAAAGAAAACATTATAGACAAAGCTAGAGCTCCCCAATTCTGGTCCCTTCTGGCCTCTCAGACCTTTTACAAACAGATTCCACCTTCAATACCAAGTGGTAGAAACACTCTGGGAATGTGTGGCCATACCAGCGAAAGCTGAGTGTGACCCAGAACTCCCAAGGCCACGCTCCCAGCCATGTGAAGACATGCACGCCACGTCCAGTGCAACCTATTCGTGTGGCCACACCTTGGAACAGCTGAAACGCCCATCACAGGAGGAGAGAGAAGTGAGTTGTGGTGTTTGAACAACAACAGAGCTACACAGCAAAGGGAAAGAACGAAGACTCGCTGTGCCCGTGGCCCAGAGGAGCCAGGCATGAGCGGGTATGACCAGCAGGAGCCCAGCGTACGATGTTCAATGACCGTCATCAGGGAGCCTCCCTGCTGGCAGGGGCATGGAGCTGCAGGCCAGGGCCCGGCATGGTATGCGTGTTTGCCAGGAGTCACTGAGTCACGCCTTCAGCCTTGGGCACTATCCATGTATGAGTTAGACTTCGGTGAGTGGCATTTCCCCTGCACAAGTGTTACTGCTATTATTAATATTACTGTTTTTTACATAAATGGCCTCATTCTGTAGGTATTGCATCTGTAGTTGCTTTTCCCTTAAACGCAATGCCCGTGAGGTGTTTCTACAACAGCACACGGACCCTACTCACTCGTGTACACGGCTTCACAGTACCAGAAGCCTCTTCCCTGTTGATCATCAGGATGGCTCCCGTTTTGCCACACAAACGACCTCCTGTTCTATCCTCCAGGATAGAAACCAGGAGGGGGCAGTGCTGAGTCATCAGGGGCAACGTTTAAAATATTAATAGATGCCGTCAGACCCCAAAGTAATCGCCAGCATCACTGCGTGAGCGTGCTTGCTTCCCCCGCGAGAGTCACCACGCGCCTGTGTTGTCCACAGTGCGATGGGGGAAGAGCAGTCTCCCCTGGGCGGTGCTCAAGGCTTCTTGCCACTGCTTTTCTCCCTTGTAAGTTTCAAGTTCATCTCTTTTCTGCTGGGTTCCTGTCCCCAGGCAGGCTTCCCCAGCCCCCTCTCTCTTCTAGATCAAGCGTGGAAACGGACTCTTGCAGATCTGTGTGTGAATGCCAATCCTAGCCCATAACTCAGGCAAGGCACTGGGCCACTTGGAACCTCGGCTTCCTTGAAAGGTTGTATGAATATTCCACATCATGAGAGAATGGTAGTAATATGATACATACCCACCCAGGGGGGCAAGGGAAAACATCAGGCCCCCCAGGGCGGCCCAGATCCCCTTCACCCTGCCATGAGGTGTGCTTCCTGGCAGCCCCACATCTGCTCAAACAGAGTGCCCGAGGGCTCCCTTCATGCCACGTGCTAAGGGTGTCATCTTTCTCATTTCATTACTTCTCACACAATTCATAGAGGCAGGAGCTACTATATCCTCTTTCCCAGGTGGGACCCAAGGTCCAAGGTTATGCAGGGATACATGGCAGAGCAGGAAACTGATCATTCTGCTCAAATGATCCTCTGCATGGTGCTCCCAAGATAACTCTTGGAAATAAAATTATGTGGCCCAAGTTTACTCCAGGCAGAAAGGCAAATACAGAGGGCATCTCTCATGGTCTAATGACTTAAATCTGTAACCACGCACATAACAATGCTTGGAAGTGTTGGGTGGAAAGACAGACATGAGCGGGTGGAGGGAGTAAGGCCAGTGGAGCCCACTCAAAGGGACTCAGAGAGCTAACCAGAGAAAGCCAGAGGGCCAGGAAGGACTCACAGAGTTAAGGAGTTAATTAGTTGAAGTTTCAAAGGCCAGGAGTGACTTGGAATGTCCAGATACTCCCCAGATTAAGAAAAGTGTCCGAGTGCAGCCCATGTCTTCATTGTACCAAGTAGATCATGCCATTGTAAGATCTACTTAGCCTGCAAAGAGGCCCAGTTTATTTCTTAACTTAATCTATATGCTGTTCTTCTTCTTCTAGCCCTTAATCAAGTGACTTTGTAACCAAGACAGGAGATAAATTTCCAAAGTGTAAATGAACCTGTGTGGATAAAGAATGCCAAGATCCGGACCAACACAGTCACTGAAATAACCCTATTCTTAAGACAAAACTTCAAAGGAATCATAAATCACCTGTATACATCATGCTGATGCTGACCCTTACCCAAAGGCCCTATAAAACCCCAAACCCTAACACTTAAGGGCGCCTCCTCTCTGAGGTTGCCCGCACTCCCCTTTCTTTGAGTGTGACGCTCTCTCTCTTCTATTCCAGATAAGTGGTGGTAGGGGGGCTGCTGAGCTCTGATTTGGTCCTGCAAGTTCCCATTGCCTGGGGGACCAGGATGGGACTGCAGTTATATGATCATGCTCTTTAGCAGCCTGCCTGAAACTCTCCTTTCTTTGCTTTTGGGAAGTTCCCAGAACATCATCTCACTCCACCAGGTGCTCCACGGCTCCCCCAAATCCTGGGATGGTCAGGGCTTAGTCCCCATGCCATGCAGATTCAAGCAGACATGGGATTCCACGTGACCCTGGATTTAGAAGTTGGCCAGGAATCTGCCCTGTGCTGAGCAGGAGGTCACTGAGCTTGCCTTTCCTCCCTCTGCTCTTCCTTGCGCTCTGCTGCCTGCCTGGCAGCTGCCATTCCCTGCTACTCTCGCTTTAATGATTCCTTCTTACTGTATTCACTCTGACTTCCCTGCCTCTGGAGCTGAACTTCTTCCCAACAGGACACAGGAGTCTACGGTGGAGGAGGGATTTCCTTTTCATTATAGTTACTTTTATAATGTTTTGGGGGAAAGATCTCAATCCAGAGCATGCATTAGTTTATCACAAATGAAATGGTGTGTTCTGTATCTTGATGGGGTTCAGGTTGCACAGGCACCCGCATTCGTCAGCACTCATAAGACGGTGCAGGTACGACGTGTGCATTTCATTACATGACAATATCACGTCAAAAGGAGGAAAACCTTGTAAAACAAATACTGAATTCCAGCCATAGTATTTGTACTACTTTCAGACATACCAAAAACCAAGTTGAATGAATTTGTACATAGAGCGATGGATGGATTGATAGACATGGGCTAAAGTGAGTCTGGCAGTAAATTAATCATTGAATCTTGTTCACTGTTAATTCTTTCAATGTTCTGTATGCTTGAAATTATTCATAATAAAAATGTTGGAAAAAAGCGGGATCCAAATTATATGCTCACTCGCTTGCAAGTAGATAAAAATTGGAGGCATTGCCACAAAAACTACTAAGGAATGTGTAAATTCTGAATTAGGAAATTGTGCTACAGTGCTGATTGTGTTTTTCAAAACTGCACGTAACATTGCTGCATTGTTTTGTAACAAAGTGTGGCTAAGGAGGAAACACCATAATATAAACTGAAATAGCGACTCACATGGTAACCCCCATGGCAAAGAGCTTCTCATACTCTGTCCTGGAGGAGTAGTTGGGGATGACCTGGAAAAGAGGGACAGAAACCCAGAGCTGGGCGCAGCACAGATTCTCGGACACGATTGCTAATGGACGTCGGGCCACCTGCTCTCCCTGCCATCCCCAGGGAGCTGTGCCTGGCTGCCCAGGACGCACCATCCCGTTGGTGATGACCAGCCTCGGGGCCCCGGGGCTGCTTGGGAAGAGGCCCAGCGGATGTCCACTGTACATGACCAGGGTTTGCTCCTCTGTCATCTGCGACAAGTAGGACATTGTCAGCCTGAACTGCAGGGGAGAACACAGCATGGAGAGCTCTGTAAGTGGCAGGTCCTCAGAGGAACCCAAGCTGCCACCCAGGCCCAGAGAGCTCCCACAGGCCCCAGGGGTCCTGCCCGCTGCCCCATCCCTCCCAGCCTTCATTATATTCCAGGGACTTCCATGTCTCCAATTACACCACTCCGACCCTTAGACCGTCAGCATCCCCAGTAATCCCCAGTGCTGGGATCTTGGGCACCGGGAGGCAGAGACCTGAGTCCTGAGCTCCCACCTGGCCAGAGGGGGTGGTGGGGAGGTCCTGAGCCTGGGTGTGGCCAGGCCACAGAGTCCAGCATACCTGGGCCCAGTTGCTGAACACCTGCCCATTTCCTCCATAGGTCACTAGCTCCTGGGGAAACTGGAGAAGAAACAGTGTCATCTGAGATGGGCACCTGGGAAGCGAGGGCCTGCATGCCTGTGATGGGCTCATGGGGCAGATGGCCAATGACCCTTGAAGCGGGAAAAGCCAGAGATATGAGGCCCAGGGACAGTGGCCTCTGTGGGAACGTTGGCCTATCTGTGACTGGGGTGAGGGCAGTGCTGGGTCTGCAGTCACTTTGGGAACTCAGCCTGGGGGTCCATGTTGGGGGCCATCTAGGTGGAGTGGTCAAGGACCATCTCGCCCTCAAGTACAATACTGGGAGACCCCACAAAGGCTGTCCTTCCTCTAACCCAGGTATCTGACACACAGGTTGACTCTCAAGGATGTCCATGGTAGGTGCATGTGGCCAGACCTGCTTTGCTCACGTGTGGCTATCGAGGCTCACGTGGCTCCTCTGACCTGCTCTAACTGCAAAATACATCCCCTGTTTAAAGACTTAATAGGAAAAAAGATTGTAAAATATCTCGATAATTTTATATTGATTACATGTTCAAATGGTAATATTTTGAATATATCGAGATAAACAAAATGCAGTATTAAATCTGATTTTTTTCCTTTTTCAAGTGGCCTTGGAACATTTAAAATTGCATGAGTACATGGTATGAATGCTGGTGCCCTGGCATGATGCTGTGCCCCAGAGATGCTGCCACTGCGGGAGCTGGGAGAAGGGTATGTGGTCCTCTCTGCACTATCTTTGCAACTTCCTGCAAACACATCATTATTTCTAGATAAAAAACACCTTAAATGTATTGCATGTACGCCTCACGTTATGTCTCTGTTGGACTGTGCTGGGGCCAGAACTCAGTTTCTCAGCCATTACCTGGGCCACGGCAGGGTCCAGGTTGTTCATGATCATGTGCATGATGGCTGCAGCAGCTCTCGTCCGGCAGGGGTACTGCTCGATTGGGTAGGCCCTGCAAGGGAAGTCCAGCCACCAGACATGATGATGGCAGCGTGGCAGGCTTCCCTCCTGCTCAGGCTCAGCACTCCAGCACCTGAATACACAGGTGTGGACTGCAAATCCCGCACCCTGCAGAGGTCGCCTTGCAGCCCAGTCTGCAGCCACACTGGGCTCAGTGTCACTCCTCCCAGGGGCAAGGAGTCCAGCTCCGCCTGGCCCAGTCACCCTGTCTCCCCAGTTGGCAACATCTAACTGGGAGATAGCTGACATCGGAGCAAAGCTGATGTCTGCTTTCCAGAAGCCTCAACTCAGGGGAGAGTTTACTCCTTCCTTCTTTCCTTCACTAGTGCTCCCGGCCACTAAAGTGCACCAGGTGCCGGGCCAGCAGGCCCCAAAGGGACCGAAGGGGCATGGGTCTGCTTCGTGGTAGGATCAGCATCCCCAGGTTCCAGACAAGCCTGGGCTCTGGGCACATCCAAAAACAGCGCTCTGAGTACGATGCCCAAGGGCAGCATCCCGGGGCTCTGCGAGAATGGCACGGCCTCCCACCCCACCCCAGAACTGCAGAACCCACAGTGCAGGAGAGGCCAGCCACGCACGCCTGTACAAGGCCTCCAGTACCCTGCAGCTGAGAGCCCTGCTGGGGCACCTGAGCTGCCGGAAGTACAGGCAGAGCAGCCCCATCTAAAGCTCTCCTCGTCTTCTGCCAGGACCCCAGGACGTGGCGTTCAGTACGGGGTTTTGTATAGTCTGGCTCTAGAATGACACAGGGTTGACCGCCCAGGACAGTGGGCCATAGAGACCCGTTTGAAAAGGATTCCCTGTCTTCTGGCCAATCGTGGGGGCTGCAGCCAGCTCTAGGCTACAGACCCCTGCAGATGACACATGGCCACCCCCTTTCTGTGTGTGAGGGGCCTCGACAGCATGCCACATCCACGGGCCTCCTCATGTGGATGGCCGGATTGCCCCCTCGCTGCTGACTCTCCAGGCTTCCTTACCTCCAGGCATGGTGCCCCCTCTGGGCCCTTTTGAAGCAGCACCTGCCGGCACTCACCTCATTTTAATGTCGGGGCAGAACCGGTACATGTAGATGTGCCCATACAGTCGCAACTCCTGGGCAAACTCGGGGGCCAGCAGCTCCTGGACATCCAGGGGGAAGTAGCGCAGGGCATTCTTCAGCGCCAGCTGGGGAAGGAGAATGGTGGGCCAAGCATCATGAGGCTTCCATGAGGGGTCATCTCCTCTGCCACCTGGATTTGCCCCTGCTGTACTCAGAAACCTAGGGTCCCACCTCAATTCTCACTGCCTAGTCCTCACCTTAGGTCCAGCTATAATGTCACCTCCTGCAAGAAGCTTTCCCCGATTGCCCTCTCCCCTTCATGTAGGCAGACCTCTTGTCCTTCCCTCTTCTTGCTCACTGGGGACCAGGCTGCTTGACAGCAGGTAAAGAAGAGGGCCTGCCCTGAGGCTTGTGGCTACAGCGGGAGATGCAGATTCAAGGGGAGGGAAGGCCAACCTGCCAGGAGAGCAGTGGCACCTTGTGAAGGATGGAGAAGCACCCTTTGACCAGCACCCAGCTTAACAAGTAGCCCCGGGCAGTGCACAACTGAGCATCCACTGCTCTGGGAGTGATAACCCGCAAGGTCTGGGGCAGCCCGGGCTGGAGCCTGAAGCAGTGACAGGAGGCCCAGAGAAACAGAAACCTTCTAAGGGGTTCTCATGCAACTGGGGAAAGCTGCTCAGACTCCCACACTCTCCCCTTACTGTTGTTCAGACATCCCTAACATTCCTGGTCCTGCCTCAGGGCCTTTGCACTTGCCCTTCCCTCTGCCTAAGCCCCCTCTGCCACCCTGCCTTCTCTTGGAGGGCCCCTCCCTTCGTGCAGGTCTCAGTCTAGACACCCCTCACCTCCCCCTCTCCCCAGCCTAGAGGCCTTGCCTTCTTGACTCCCAGCCTCTTTCTCTGCCTGTTTTCTTCCCAAGCTTTTCATCATCAGATGTTCAGACACTCTATGGTTTATTTCCTTGCTTACAATCTGTCTTGCAAAGCTCAAGGAGAGCTGGGGTCTTGGCAGACCCTTTCTCAGCTCTCTTCCTTCCGACACCCAGACTGGACCTTGAGGGTGGAGGCTGGCAAAGTGGGGGAGGGACCCAGGGTGACGACATTGAGGCCATTTATTTAACCAGCTGACCCTGGAGAACAACGCACTTTGGGGGTGAGGGGTGATGAGGAGCTGGGGTGGTGACTTTATTCACTCACTCATTCAACACACGTCCACTGAGGGGAGAGGTGCTATGAGACTCAGAGAAGACAGGTAGGCTTGGGGCGTGAGCAGGCAGGAGGTGACAGAAGGACCTTAGGGCCCAGAATTGGGCCACGAGGACACTGGCACTTGGGCAGAAGGGCCAGGGACTGGGAGCTGGGAGCCCAGCCAGGAGTACAGCCCCCCCGGGAGCCAAAGGCAGAGGGTTAGGAGAGGGAAAGCCTGTCCAAAGCGCCCAGAGGTCAAATACCACATGGGACTGAGTGGCAAAGGTGTCATTGGGAGCCTTAGTGGCAGTGGGGTGGGAGACAGTAGCTGGATAAGTCAGGAGGGAGCAGAGGGCAAGAGAGGCAATGAGGCGATGCCAGCTCAGGGGGTTCTGGGAACCTGACAGGGTTTGCAGAGTTTTTCTCTCACTTGCTTTTCATGTGGAATAAGTGCACATCATTCCTTCTGTCTTGGAAAAAAAAAACTGACCAGAAATATGAGTTTCTCCCTTAAGATCATAGCTGGGAATCTGCCCCAGCAGGAAGCTGTCAAACGCCAGGCGACAGCAGAGTCATCCGAGTGCTGAGCCCAGCCCCGCAGCCTCTGTTTGCATTTCTGACAAGTTCCTGGTGCTGCTGGCCCCAGAGGACCCCTACTTTGGGAACCTCTGGGACAGCAACAAGGATGAACAAGTCACAGCTACATACAGCGGCCAGGGTGAATCTCCTGCCTTAGTGTTGGGGAAAGAAGCTGACACCAGAGGGCCACACTGTGTAAACCTGTCGACACCACATTCAAAAGCAGGCCCGGCTAAGGAGGCCCGTTAGAAGTCACTATAGCGGTTCCCCTTCTGTTGGGGTCTGTGCCCCTCTGCCTGTGTGTCTGTGAGGTGCACCTCTGAGCACATGTGCTTTTGGCTGCTTTCTGTTTGCATTACACCTCACAACAAAGACTGGTGGTTGTTTTTTATTTAATTGGTGTATAGCTTCTAATCAGAGCTTGACAAGTGAAACAACATTGAAAGAAATTTCAACAGAAATATATATTATTACACATACACAACGGAACACAGACCCTCCACAAACGACAACTGCTACAGCATGGATTGTCTGTAAAGTCTATCCCAGTCTAGCTTCTTTTATTTCATTTTCTAATAAATAGTGATTCCATAACTCGCTCAGAGGTGGCAGCTGCAGTATGAAACCACTGTACTAATTTTTTGAAACAATGTCAGCTCCCTTACTGAGGTGAAACTTGGTTTTTACTAAGGTGTTAGACATAGAAGGCGTGGGCTCAATGGTGTCAAATGCATTTGCAACTTTGTTTAAGTAATCACGTAACTCAAAAATCACAACAAACAATTCCTGCCAAACTTAACGATTTTTAAATTGTCAGTTGATGAAAACAACTCAGCCATTCTTTGAAATGTACTTAAAGGCTGTGCAAAAATGAAGAATGCACATATGCCATAAACATAAAGGGGATTCTAGCACGTTCCCAAATCCTAAATGCAGCACAAAAGCTCTGTTTGCCATATTTCCCCCCATACAAGATTTCCACTTTATGATGATTGAATTGTTCTTTTTCCCTGAAACTCACTGATTTAGCCTAAACATGTCGTAATGTCAACTATTCTATGCCATTTTCTCTTCTTTCTTTCTTTTTTTTTTTAAAGGATTAACTACATCTTTTTATCTGCTATTTTGTTTTTACTGAGCTCAGGAAAGTTTTCTTCTCTTATATTTTTATTCAATAATTTTATCCCCTATGTCTGGAGTTACATAATAGAAATGTAATAAGCATTTCTTGAGTGAAGAAATAGAAGAGAATAAATTCTATTTGCTGCCGGATTCCATACTTCAAGTCTCTGACTATGGACAGTTCTCAGCATTAAGGTGAGAAAATGGTGCTCAGGCAAATGGTGTGACCTGCCCTCAGTCGTGAAGGAGGCCTGGGACAGGCCTGGGGGGAGGTTCATGTACCCCCACATACCTTAGGAACCTCAGCACAAGACAAAGCTCAGCAAGGACAGGCCAGATGAGTGATGGGGTTGGCTGCTTCCTGATAAGCTTAGAACAGCAGATGCAGCTCTGCCGCCTACAAGCTGTGTGAACTTGTTACCCCTGCCTCGGTTTCCTCATCTCTCAGCATGGCCCACTCAGCCACGTAGTTGGAAGGATTAGATGGGATAATGCACACTGTCCAGCACATAGTGCCAGGCCTTCTACTCACCTGTTCTTTTAAGACCCCCAAGCCAGAACCTGGGGACTGTTTCTTGCTTCCTCCCCATCCCCAGCTTCTCAGTTTCCTTTTTTCCATGTCTTCAGTTTACTTTAAAATGCCACAGCACACACAGGGGCATGTACACGGAGAGCCACTAGGCATCCTACTTGGGAATTCAGAAGCCCTCCTAAGTTTCCCCTGTCTACTGAACTCTTGCAGGATTTGATTTGGGCACTTCGCATATGCTCTTGTCTGTTCATTCAGCAAACAACTACTGATGTCCCTGAAGACCCAGAAATCAATCCAAAAGAGCCCACCCTTAAGACACTCAGGAGAGTGTGAGTAGTTGTGGGAACACAAACAAATGTGGGGGGTCTTCAGATCTGGTATTTGATGTTCAGCACAGCCCCTGCAGGTGGGGAGGATTTGGGGAAAATATCACTAGGAGTAATTGCATTGGGGGAGCAGGAATTGCTAAGACATTCTAATAGAGGAACTATCCCCATTACATGACAAAAATTCCCCTCTGAACTGTAGAAACTGTCCCATGCTTGTGGTGAAAATACATTGACTATTTATACGTTGAAAATGTTACAGCCATCTGTATGACCATACTCTACATTTAAATAGAGAATCAACTTAAGAGCAAAGAATGCAGCACATTTTAGTTCATCCAAATAATGAAATACACAACAGTCAAAGGAACAAGGACAACTATACACATACCAATTATGAACAATCTAAAACAAACCAATGTGGACAGAATACTTCCACTTACATTCTTAAGAAGCACACATAGAAGTGTCCAGAAGAGTATGCCAAAAAGGTCGTGGTGCCTTGGGGAGGTGAAGGGTGGTTCCTAGGTTGTCACCTGTGCTTCTGACCAATGAGCTATAAACTGGGGTTCCCACAACCCCTCCTTGAGTTCTTTAATATTCTAGAGTATTCCATAGAACTCAGGGAAATATGTTTACTGGTTTATTATAGAATATTGTGAAAATTAATAAAGGGAAACCTTACTAAAAAAGAGTTGGGATGCCAGAAGGGGCAGCTCTCATCAGTACGACTCCAGACCCACCAGGAAGAGATACATACCTTGCAGTCCCAAAAGAAGGAAGCCCGATTTACCGCCCCAGCAGGAGGAAGGAAGATTTTTCTTTGCCCTGGCAACAACCCAGCCAATGAGAGACTGTCAAAATTCAGCCAATGAGAGGCCACTATACTTCAAACTTTCAGTTTCCTCCAATGAATTTTCTATTTATAAGAGCCTCCCTTACTCCCTACTTCCCTCTCAAAGATCTTTCTTCTCCTTTGTTCTCTAGACATACCTACGTTTTTGCTGTAGCTTGTGTGTCCCCAGTAGCAATTCTGTTCTATTCCCAAATAAATCTATTTTTGCTGTTAAAGTAACTGACAGTTTTCTATTTAAGTTTAATAATATGTGAGATAAAGGATAGAGATGAACAGCCAGATGAAGGGGTACGTAGGGTGAGGTCTGGGGGAGGGCTGTGCAGCGTCCATGCCTCCCCAGGCACACCACCCTCCCAGTACTGTCATGAGTTCAGCAACCAGGAAGCCTTGCCAAACCCCTTTGTTAAAAGATTTTTATGAAGACTTCAGCACATAGGCTGATTGATTATTAACTCAATTTCCAACCCTTCCTCCCAATTTAGAGAATGGTGGGGGCACTGAAAGTTCCAAGCCTCTAATTATGGTTTGGTCTTTCTGATGGCCAGTCCCGTCCAGACCGCATCAAGAGAGGCCTCCTAAAAACAAAAGACCCTCCTATCACCCATGAAATTCCAACAGATTTAGGAGCCCTGGGTCAGGTACCAGAATCAAAGACCAAATATTAGCAGGAAGGCGGGGGCAGGGCAAAGGTCAATATATATGTTTCTTATTATTTCACAGACACCTGCTGGCTGGCTGACCCAGCACCCTGAGGGGTGATTTGTCCCCTTCAACAGCTCAAACCCCCAAGCCGCCACTTAACCTCTGCTCCAAGGACATGTGTCCTTCAAGCAAATGGTGACGTACACTGGGCAAGGCTGAGCTGGCCCAGCTCCTCACAGCTCAGCGCCCTCCTCCCAGCACAAGGCACACCACACAGCCATGAGGGTGCCGCCCGAGCTGTGCAGGCACGGGTGCCCTCCAGACCCTCGTGGCCAAAGGTCCGGACATCAGCACCTCGCAGCGAGCTGTCCCAGGGAGAGGAAACATTAACCAGCACTTTGATGTGGCTGAGCAGGGCCTGATTAGTCCAGCCAATGTGGGTGGGAGGCTCTGTGGCCCCCAAACTCCCCAACTCAACCCTTCCCCAGCCCCACCCACCCCACCCTGGCCCCAATGTCCCACCCCCAGCAACATCCTCCCCCACCCAGCACCCCTCCCCAACCTTCCCTGCCCTGACTCTGCCCAGTCACCTGCCAGAGACCCCAGCGTCCTGCCCCCCCTTCTGCGGGTGGCACTCAACAGAAAGTCTGGGGACAACCACCCAGAGGGCGGCAGTCCTGATCTGGGCTGGAGAGGTGTGATTCCTCTTTTAATCTTGGTGCTTATCTATATTTCTATTACCCCTCCCAGTGTTCCTGAAGTTCTCTAGTAATTTTGAGTACAGAAAAGGCAGGAGAAAAACCATTTATAAAACCGTACCACCTGCTTCATTTCATGCGGTCTCCTTTACTACCCTGCGACAGAATCATTTCCATCCCCAGCTCACAGGGGAGACAAACGTGGTTCCCCGACCACAGGGACTTGATGGGCCCTGGCCTGGGCGCCACATCCTGGACCCGTCTCCTGCCAGGTTCACCAGGCTGAGTGGCACCCGGGGTCCCCGCCAGCTCTCATCAGCACCACTGGGCCCTCTCCAGGGTTCTAGCCAGGCAGCCGCAAGCTCACTGGAAGATTTAGGGGGAGGGACACAAACCAAAACAAGGGCTGACCTCCTGGGAGGAGAACTTCAAAGCAGCCTGTGAGCCCTAGGCAGGAAGGCGCAGCACGTTTGCACCTGTGCTTCAGGGCAGGCACTTCAGGTGGCCCCCTTCCCTCTAGGCCTGGAGGCAGCCACCATTTAGTGGCTGGGTGATCCTGAGCCCCACAGTCCTCATCAGTAAATGGGATCATAATCCTGCACCCAGGGATGGCACTGGGAGAGAATGACGGATCCTGGGTGTGGTGGAGTCTGGCACACGGTGGGTGCCCCCTCCCACCCCCACACCCACTGGGACATCCTGAGGGTCAAGGGTGGGAGGGTGATGTGAGCCCCTGTGGAGACAGCAGAAGTGGGAATGCCTGCCTGGACCTCCCAGAGGGCAAAGCACCCCAGCAGGAACAGGCCTGACTCCTCACCTGCTCCTCTGTGGGGCTGAGGCCTGGGGTCCTGACTGGGGCGTGGGGCATGCCAGCCCAGCGTCCTGGGTTCTCTGGGAGGGGCCGCAGGGGCAGGCCAGAGCATAGCGCCTGGAGGCTGGACATGTCTGGCTGAGACGGACAGGTTGGCCAGCTCTGTGGGGAAGCTGGGAAGAGACTGCAGTCCAGATCCAGCTGGGACGGGGACCTCTGACCCCAGGGCCACCTCCTCTAGCCCCTCATTGGCCCAGGGCTTGCGGAAGGAACCCCGTGTGGGTCACTGGGTTATCGGCCCCTAGGCTGGCTGCTCTGGTGTTGACTTGGATGGGGGGGGAGAGCAGGCAGGCTCCATGCAGAGGGGATGGCTTAGTGGGGGTCTGTCTGTCCTGTTAGTCAGGTGCTGGCCTAGAGGGGTATGTCTTCTAGGACACGACTTGAGGGAGCTGGTGGGGCTGTAATGTGGGGTCTGTCTGGTGGTCTTACAGGGCAGTGACACTAGGCAGGCAATGCGGGGTTTTGTCTTGATGATGGGAGCCATGTGTCATTAAACCTGGCGTAGAGCTCAGGGTCTGTGCAGCAAGCAGGCAGTGCCCCTTGCACCACTTCCCCTGCTGCCTGTGGGGTGGGACTGGATGACAGACAGGACAGGATCCCACCCAGCCACATGTGTACCCTGCTCAGCTACCATGGGGGTACACACTGCTTCACTCCCTTCCCAAAGCTCTCTGCCAAGAGCCTGCCTGGAGAGGGTGCTCACCCCCAATCCAATTAATGACTCTGCAAGGAGCACCCCCCATAAGTCCTGTGCTATGGATGGGGAAACTGAGGCCTGGGTCTCACTCACACCACCAGGAAGTGACTGCGGTAGAATCCTGGTGGTCCTGGGAAAACACCACCCCTGGGTGTCAGCCAGCTCGGCTCCTGACCAGTGCCGTAGCCTTGGGCCCTATGCCAGTCTACACAAGTGGGTGGCAATGAACCGCTCAGGCTGCAGGAGGCATGTGTGGGTCGTGTGAACACCCAGCATAAGGGAAAGGTGAGAAAACAACCAACACCTCCTGAGGGCTCCCTTTTGAGCACAGCATGTGATCCAGTTCACCTTGTCCTCTCATTGGCCCTGTGGAGTCCGCCATTCCATTTTACACATGTGGAAACAGAGGTTGAGAAGGGCTGGGACTTGCCCAAGGCCACCCATCTGGTCACGGGTGAAGAAGGGCTGGGAGGGCCAGGGCAGTGACGGCCCCTCAGCCCCCTGCCAGGAGCCACCCTCAGCCAGCAACAGACAAGACTGTGGTATAAAAGCCCAGGTTTCTTGCCCCTTGGCTGGGAGTGGGGAGCAGTAATAACTCTGGGGAGGGTTCTACGCTGTCCACAGGGTCCCCAGCAGGACTGGGCTGGGGTGTCACACCCTGGATCACTGCTTTCCTTTCTGGATATCTCCCCATTTCCTGAGCAGACAGATCCTCAACAAAACAGCTGTAATGAAACTTCCTCTCCGGATTTGCTTTTAGGGAAGAACTCATCTTCTAATGGCTCAAGATAAGCCAGAAATCTAACAGTTTTCATGAAACACAATTTTTAAATGTTTGCAACCAATTAAAAATCATTTTAAAAAACAATTCTGAGAAGGAAGAATAAAGCAGGGGGTATTACGCTCCCCAACTTCAAGCTCTACTACAAAGCCACAGTAATCAAGACAATTTGGTACTGGCACAAGAACAGACCCATAGAGCAGTGGAACAGAATAGAGAGCCCAGATATAAAGCCAAGCATATATGGCCAATCAATATACAATAAAGGAGCTATGGACATACAATGGGGAAATGACAGCCTCTTCAAGTGTTGGCAAAACTGGACAGCTACATGTAAGAGAATGAAACTGGATTACTAACTCCATACACAAAAGTAAAGTTGAAATGGATAAAAGATCTGAATGTAAGTCTGAAACCATAAAACTCTTAGAAGAAAACATAGGCAAAAATCTCTTGAATATAAATATGAGCAGCTTTTTCCTGAACACATCTCCTCAGGCAAGGTAAACAAATGAAAAAATGAACAAGTGGGACTACATCAAACTAAAAAGCTCTGTACAGCATAGGACACCATCAGCAGAACAAAAAGGCATCCTACAGTATGGGAGAATATATTTGTAAATGAAAGATTCAATAAGAAGTTAACATCCAAAACATATAAAGAGCTCATGCACTTTAACACCTAAAAAGCAAATAACCTGAGTAAAAAATGGGCGGAGGAGCTGAACAGACACTCCAAAGAAGAACTTCAGGTGGCCAACAGGCACATGAAAAGATGCTCCACATCACTAATCATCAGGGAAATGCAAATTAAAACCACAATGAGATATCACCTCACACCAATTAGGATGACAAACATCCAAAAGACAAGGAACAACAAATGCTGGCGAGGATATGGAGAAAGGGGAACCCTCCTACACTGCTGGTGGGAATGTAAATCAGTTCATTGTGGAAAGCAGCATGGAGGTTCCTCAAAAAACTAAAAATAGAAATACCATTTGACCCAGTAATTCCACTCCCAAGAATTTACCTGATGAAAGAAGATCCCAGATTCAAAAAGACATATGCATCCCTATGTTTATAGCAGCACTATTTACAATAGCCAAAATATGGAAGTGACCTAAGTGTCCATCAGTAGATGAATGGATAAAGAAGATGTGGTACATATGCACAATGGAATACTACTCAGCCATAAGAAGAAAACAAATCCTACCATTTGCAACAACATGGATGGAGCTAGAGGGTATTATGCTCAGTGAAATAAGCCAGGCAGAGAAAGACAAGCACCAAATGATTTCCCTCATTTGTGGAGTATAACAGCGAAGCAAAACTGAAGGAAAAAAACAGCAGCAGACTCACAGACTCCAAGAAGCGACTAGTGGTTACTGAAGGGAAGGGGTGTGGGAGGGTGAGTGGGGAGGGAGGCAGGGGGAAGGGGATTAAGGGGCATTATGATTAGTGCACATAATGTAGGGGGGTCATAGGGAAGGCAGTATAGCACAGAGAAGACAAATAATGACTCTATAGCATCTTACTATGCTGATGGACAGTGACTGCAATGGGGTGGGGGTGGGGGACTTTATAATATGGTTGAATGTTATAACCACAATGTTGCTCATGTGAAACCTTCATAAGATTGTACATAAATGATGCCTTAATAAAAAAATAAATCATTTTAAACATTATACTGAGTAATTATATCAATGTCAATGTCCTGGCTATGATTCTGAACTACAGTTTTGCAAGATGCTACCATTGGGATCTCTCTGTATTATTTCTCACAGCTGTGTGGGATCTACAATTCCAAAATAAATAGTTTAATTATTTTTTTAAATGTATAAGCTATTTAAAAGAGTAAATTTCACAATAAAAAGTCTCCTTTGCTCCCCACTGTCCAAATGTTGCATATGGCAGACTGGTGGGTTCAAGCCCTGGCTACACCACTCACTAGCTGTGTGTCCTTAGGCACATTACTTAGCCTCTCTGGGCCTCAGTGTCCTCTGTAAAATGAAAGTAATAACAGTACCTACCTCATGGGATGTGTCTGAAAATTAAATGAGGTAACATATGTGAAGGTCTTAGAACACAGCCTGGCACAGATTAAACCCTGAATAAGACATTGTCATTTTTCTAATTGCTGCCTCTATCAAAGAAGCACCTCTATCAAAGAAGCAAGGAGCAGACAATGTACGTATTACAGAAAATAAAGAAAAACAACATACATACTGGGGAGAGATGGGGAGGAAAGGAGACTTTCTGCTGTAAAACTCATTGGTGCTTTCAACGGTGTCAATGTACTGAATGCATACTTTAAAATGATTGATTTTATGTGAATGTATGTGAATTTCACCTTGATTAAAAAAACTCTGGTGTCTCTAAATTTTGCTCCATGGCCAAACCAAATAATAAAATGCACACCTACCAAGGAGTAAAGAAGAGCAGGCAGGTGCTGTGAGCCAAACCTGCTTCCCTCCCCATGAGCCTCAGCCCTGGGCCTCCTGGGGCTCCCTGTGGCCTGTCACCAAGCACCTGCCTTAGTTGCCCCTCTGGTGGCCTTCAGTGGCTGTTCCTGTCCTGACTGGCCTTTGCTCCTAGAACCACCTGGCAAGCAACACTACTAGCCCAGTCTATCCACCTGGGACCCCACCCCAGGCCACAGTGGGCCCTGGTCTCTGCCATGTCACCAGCATGTCCAGCTGGTCTTCCTGAGCTGGGCAACACCTCTGTCCCTCACACCATCAGCCTGGCCCCAGCGTCCTTTCCATCCCTCCAGCTGCTCTGCTGGCCTGGGCACTTTCCTCTGCACCACTCTGGCTCCGACCCCTCTACCTTAAAAGGTAACCTGGGCCCTGCGAGAGCACACCCCACCGGCCCACGCCCATCACCTTTCCCAGAGACAGCACCAGACTCTCCTGGTCCCCACCTCGGCCCTGCCACTCCTAGTCTTTAGCAACACAGCTGCAGACTGTGCCCAGAATAGCCCACATGTGGCCCATGACACTCTGGGATGTGAACTTCCTGTCTGCTGCTCTGACTCTTCCCTTCTACCCTTGCCCACGCAGGGGCCTTCCTGCTGCAACCTGCTCTAGGAGTTCACGTCCATGGTGATCTTAAAATATGGTCATAAATCCTTGCCTGGGTGTTTCTCCAAGTGAGCCTGAGGTGTGGCACTTGGGCCAGCCTTACTAGTTCTCGTAATCAGGTAGAAGACAGGTTGAGGCTCCGTGGAGCAGCCCCAATACCCCAGGATCCCAGGCTGGGGAGTGCCAGGTGGAGGTGCCCGGGGAAACCACCCTGCTGAGCCCCAGCATGTGAGGGGCCCTGGGGGCCAGCCAGCCCGGGCCAGCCTCTGGAGACCAGCTGCCATCTGCTGCAGCAGCATGAGACCCCCAGTGAGAAGCACCCAACTGAGTCCCTTCCCCAGTTCCTGACCCATAAAACTGTGAGCCAAATTTTTTTTTTTTTAATTCTCAACAGTCTCCAATCTTCTGAAGCATAACGAACAAGTTCTTACATGGTGAACAAGTTCTTACATAGTGAATAAGTTCTTTCAGTTTTGATCACACATTATGAACTATAAACAATCACGTCAGATATGATTATTCATTTGATTTTTATACTTGATTTATATGTGAATCCCACATTTCTCCCTTATTTTTTATTTATTTATTTATTTTTAAATAAAATGCTGAAGTGGTAGGTAGATGCAAGATAAAGGTAGAAAACATAATTTAGTGCTGCAAGAGGGCAAATGTAGATGATCAGGTCTGTGCCTATAGACTAAGTATTAATCCAAGCTAGACAAGGGCAACAAAACATCCACGGATGCAGAAGATTTCTCTGTGAGTCAAATTTAAATGGCTCTTTTAAACTGCTAAATTTTAGGGCAATTTGTTACTTAGCAATAAGCACTGGAACGTGGCTAAAGGGCCCCCACAAGGGCTGTTCCTCTGCCTGGAACTCTTCTTCCCCACTACTTGCATAGTTCCACCTCACCTGGTTCACATCTCTGCTCCCCTGTCACCAGCTTCCTGAGGCCTGCCCTTCCCACCCTATTATATACAATATTATATGCACTATATACACATTTCCTACCCCTTCATCCTGCTTTAATTTCATCACAGCACCATTTACTCCATGTCATGATCTTATGTATTTATTACTGTTTGCTATGCCCTCCCATCTATAATGTGAACTCCATGAGCGGCGCAGACAGCATGTACTGTTCTGTCCACTGGAGGCTCAGCACAGTATCTGTTGAATTAATGTATGAATGTACAGGAGTCCCCGTGAGAGAGCAGGTGCTGCAGAGGGTGTCTTCTCAGGGAAGCTACTGAATCCCTGGGCCTCTGACGAGGCATATTCACCTTCCCACCCCAAGTCCCAACACCCGGGTTCCCCCCGTGTGCCTACAGGGATCAGGTCTCCAAGGGACTGACGGAACTGGATGGAGCGAGCGGTTGTTCTCAACTTTGGCCACCAGGTGGCAGCCCAGGAAGCCAAGAGTCTTGCCGTAAGGGCTCTAGGGACTGGGACGCCTTACAGAGATGCCAGAATGGGGGAGGCTCAGAAATGTAAGGGTAGGTAAGACTTGGGACCCGCTGGGGATGCGGATGGCCCAGAATCCCCGGGTACTGGTCCCAGAACAGCAGCAGCCCTATTGGCGGGCCAGTGTGGGGCTAAGCTGGAGGCTCCCCAATGCTCTCTGTCCAGGTCCCCTGGAAAGCCATGTAAGGAGTTTCTGGCTGTATCTGTGATTACCCCTCTGCCATTTCACACCAATCATCACCATATGGAGCCACATCTTTAAGCCAGCACAACTATTATTTATTTAATATTTTTCCTTAAATAGACCTTTAAAACGTAAATAAATGTAATAGGTAGGACTTTCAATATCATTGCTGTAACAGAAACCGGAGTCACTTTCCAGAAATAAGCAGTAGCTACCAAAAAAAAAATTAATCACTAACATCGAGTACTGAGATGGCACTCGCTGAGAACCAGAGGCTATTCCAAACATCTCCTGTTTCATTGAGTTCTCACCGTGTGATGAGATATGTCTTAGTTCTACCCCCTTGTACCGGGAACTGGGGCACAGAGAGGTTAGGCAACTTTCCTGATCTCACAAGGGCCTGTAAGTGGCATCAGCAGGGTTTAGAATCACCAAATTTTTCAAGGGTAGTTAAAAAACTGGAGATTACCGCAACACCCATTCTTACACACTCACACTCACAAGCACACACCTGCGCTCATGGCACCAGCTGCGGCCTCGGGTTCCCTGCTAGCCCTACTTCTGGGCAACAAGATGCTGGGGTCAGGCCTGATCACCCCACAGGGCTAGCTGGATGTGTTGATCTTTAAAGGCTGGACTTCACTCTCACCGCACAGGAGTCCTCAGCGACTTCCGAGGGCTCATCTGGAGTCTGGAGCAGTTGCAGGTGACCAGGTGAGGCACAACAGTCCTGATGGCAGGGAGCACGTACCTGAGACCCCCCACCTCTCCTCCTGGAGTCTGGCCCACACCTGCAGCAGCCAGGATTCAGGCGGAACCTGGAGACACCTGTGGAAAAACAAGACTACGGGGTGGCTGTGGGGTTAGAACTGGGCACTCTTAGGCCTGACACTGGGGATGGGAGCTCTAGGGGAGTCACACAGGGATCTGCGGCCCCAAACCAGCCCCTGAGCTCCTGGCATGTGAGACTTCAAAAAGGCAGGACACTCCTCAGATGACCCGCTGACCAGCCACCTTGGCAAGGCTTCTTGGCCTTGGGGGGCGGATGGCCCCCTAGAGCAAACTGAAGGGGGCGGAGCCTCCCGGGGACAGGGATCCCTCCGCCCAGTCTCCACCCTTCGCGCCCGGGACGGCTGTTGCGCTTGACCGCTTGGTCGGGTGCGGGTGGTGCAGCTTGGATGAGGCCGCGGCCCCCCGCCTCGCCCACCTCCCCGTGCCGCCCCGACAGCCTGCTCTGCGAGCAGAGCCCTGGCACCCCGCGCCGCACCCTTGGGTACGTGCCGCCGGGGGCGGGGCCAGGGGCGGAGCCCGGGTGGGGCTAGAGCTGGGCCGGGGGCGCGTCCCGCTTTGGGGTCCCCGAGCCTGACGCACTCCGCCGACTGCAGCCTGCTCGCGGGCCAGGCATGGGGAGGCGCTGCTGGCCGCGGCGCTTGCTGGCGGCCGCGTGTTTCGGCGCCGCATTGTTGCTCCTGGGCGCCGCGCCCCGCGCCCTGCGCCCGGGTGAGTGCCTGCCGGGCTGGGCGCCGCCCCACCGGCTGCCGGACCCCTCGGCGTGTTGGGGGCACCTGCTGTTATCTCCTGGGCTGGGGAGATAGAGGTGGGTGGGTCCAGAAAGACTCTAGACGTCCCCGCCCACGCCCCAGCTCCCCGCAAGGGTGTCGGGGTACACGAACGGGTGGGGGAGCTTGACGCTCCCCAGTAGCGAAGGTGGTCTCTCGGTGCAACAGGTGCTGCTGCCTAGAGCTCTCTGCTCCACGCTGAGGTTCACACTGGGGTGGACTTGGGCTCCTTTGCACCCACCTTACGGTCTGCTCTGGGAAACTAAGGCAGTCAGTCATGACTCCACAAAGTGCAGTATTTGCTCTGGGCCAGGCATGCGCTGAGACTTCACTCGCATCTCCCCATTTCACAAAGGAGGAAACTGAGGCCAGAGAGGCTGAGGTGGGCTGCGGAAGGCTAGCCTGCTGGCTACAGTCGGCCTGGAGCTTGAGGGGCCCAGGTAGTGGCCTTGCTGACCTCTGGCCCTGTTGGCTGTCTGTGTTGGCTGCAGCAGGGAGCCTCTGCTCTCCTCTACTCCGTGGGGGCTCTGTGAGAATCCCTGGGATCCCCCCTCACAGACAGGGTCTCAGGGGAGGTAAGCAACCACAGGAGTTAGTACCCACGCCCAGGGGTGGGCAGGGACGGTGGACAGTGGGTCAGGGTGGCCCCAGCAGAGGACACTGCTCTGGGACAGCATTTACCCTCCCGGCTGGATTTAGGTTGGTGGAGAAGGGTCATTCCACTGCCTTACCTGCTGGGTGACCTCAGTACTCCCATCTGTAAGATTGGGTGCTCAAGTTCTTCCGTACAGGGCTTCTGGGGAGGTGAAGTTAATGAGATGGCAGACGGAAGGTGCTTGGCCCCAAGTCTCTTCATCATGCTGGCTGTCATCATTAAGGGTGTCACTGCTCCTTCCATCCTGGGGTGAGGGACTCCTTCCCGTCTCCTGCAAACCTCTGTGCCGGCGGCCAGGGTTGGGCTGGGGGCCACTTGAGCAGGGCTTGGGAGGCCTCCACAGTGCCCACCAGGGCTCTGCTCAGTCACCGGCCATTCACCCTGTGCCCTCCATATCTGGACATAGTCACACAGACCTGGACACCTCCCCAAGCCAAAGGAGGGGGCTGAGGTCAGTCTTTCCATGTCCCCCCCACCTTCTGCCTTCCGGGGGCTGGCTGACCAGCTGGGGGTGGTGCTCCCGGTTCATGCCGCGTTTTCTCCTGTCTTAGTGGAGTGAGTGTCCCCTGCACAGTGTGGTCCTGGTATCTCTGGCCATGACAGTCTCTGTCCACTCAGTCATTTGAAGACAAATGTTTACCCAGGACCTGGAACCAGCAGGACACAGTGGCTCCCAGCTCTCGGGCTCAGCCCAGGAGAGAGAAGGTCAGACAGAATCTGGGCCCAGGTATGTAGGGTGTGCGCCCACAGATCGTGGCTGTCTGCGTGATGAGTGTGTGTCTGGGGGAGTATGCGTCCCCCCCCGCCTGGACACAGTTCTCCTGCTGCCCCCTCTCCCCGGGTTTGAGAAGAGAAACCAGCCAAGGTCCTGGTCACCCTCTACACTTTGCTTCTCCTGTCCTCCCTCCTCTCCTGCAAACCTGCAAACCTAGAGGGGGTGACTCACGTGCCCCCTTCCTAGCCGTTGCCCAGGCCATACCCCCACCTGGGCTGCCCTGCCGCACGAGTACCCCTGGCCATGGGCTCTCACCCAGCAGGCTGGTCTCTCCAAATCTGGTCTGGCAGACCCCTCCTGGCCCCTGCTGCCCCTGCACCTACACTGGGATGGCCTTGTCTCTGAGCTCCTGTGGCACAGTCCCTCCCCCCTGACAGAGTCTGTTCCTGCTAGACTCAGCCCTTTCCCCATGGCATTTTCTGCCATTATAGCTTGGAGCATGACCTTGGACAAGCAGGGGTCAATCACACTAACCTACCCAAGTGACTGCTGGCTCTTCTGCCTCCCAAGCCGGCAGCTGAAGCCCCTGACCTTGGAAGCCAGTGAGGCTGTGCTAATGGGCCTGCAGTCACACGGCAGACAGGAGGGCAACGGCTGGGTGGAAACGCAAGCCTGCTGGAAGTGGATCCTACTGTCCAGGGCCTCCAGAAATGGCCTCAGTAGAGCCCTTTGGCATCTCCCAGTGTGTCCCCACAGCTGTGCCCTGAGCTGGGAGGGGTAAAGGGTGAGGTTTGTGCCCTCTAAGGAACTCTGGCCCAGGATTAGGGTTTAGGGCCTGGAGGAATTCTAGCCTCTTAACTCCAGAGGGACAGTGAGTCTGGCACTGTCCCCTCCTCCAGAGCAGAAGGTGTTGCCACAAGTTGGGCAGGGGACCCCTGAAGTCTCCTGCTGCCCTTTAGTAGTGGGGGTGAGTGAGGTCTGGGCAGCCACCCAGCACCCCTCAGCACCCGGGGACCCCAACAACGTAGGCCTAGTGCTCCAGGCCCTGGGCATGAGGACGATGCCAGGGAAGGTGGGACAGCTGCCCAGGACACTGCTGCCTTCAGCGCCCACCCTCTACCCCAGTGGTAGCCCCACTGTGACTCCCCCTCACTCCTGCCTCCTCTGTGTCTGCACCTGGGCATGATGACTGTGCCTCTGTGTAACACTGTGGACCACCTATTCCTGGTCATCTGCTCATGCCAGCATCTGCCTAGGTCTGGGAACAAAACTTACTAATGTCCCTGCCCTCATAGAGCTTACGTTTTTAACATTAGAAACCCCAATCTCCAGTCTGCATCCTCTGCCCTGAGAGGTACACCCAGGGAGAGCACACTGTCCACTCTGGCTGGTCTGTAAGGGCCTTGTTGCGGGGTGCTGGAGCCTACCCCCACTCCATGCTGACCTTGCGTCCCCTCCAGGGGTCACAGGGGCTGAACATCTTTCCCCACGCTGGAGGTCACAGGTGTTTCAGAGCCAGGCTGACTGGGCCTTGTCTGCTTCTCGGGGACCCTGGGCTTCCAGAGAGAGAGGGGAGGGTGTAGAACAAGGTCGGACAGGGGCACTTGTTCCCAGGGCTGTCCCCCCTTTCTGGGCTGTCACTGCCCTCCTCTTCCTCCAGGCCACATCCCTTCCCTGAGAGGCCAGCACTTCCTGCCCGAGGCCCAAGGGTGGCCTCCCCCACCTCCTTCCTGAAGTGTCTCCAGGAGGAAGGAGGCCGTGTAGGCCGGATGTGTCTGCCTCCAGGCATGGATGGATTCAGTGGCTCAAACCACATCTCTGGCTCTAGGTTTGGCTTTTCTCTTTGGAGGCCTCACTCTCGGCTCCTGCAGCCAAAAGGGAGGACTCCCCTACTGACAGTTCCAGCCAGAGTCCCAAGGATGTGTCTCACTGGCTTAGATTGGGCCAAATGGTACCCACCTCTGAGCCAACCACTGTGGCAGGAAGGGATGGAATGCTGTGCTTGGCCAGACCTTGTCACGTGCCTATCCCAGCAGCTGTGGGAGGCGGGAGCCTACGAGAACCCCATGGACCAACGTAAGCGGGTTTGTTCATGGAGGGAAATCCTGTGGGCTAGCAAAAGGAGGGGGAGTGGCTGCTGGCAGCCAAGTCAATCGATGCTCACCACACTACTGTCCTTTCTCAGCTACTGCCAGGGGTGCAGGGCTCAGAGGCACCGGGCAGGCCTCCAGAGCACCATGAGAAAGGGCAGCTAGCAAGATGGACAGCAAGCCAAAGAAGGGGTTGGTAATCCCATTTTGTAGAGAAAGGGATCTCCTGTAAGATCAGGAGAAAGGAAATGAGTTGCTTTCTTGGCCTGAGTTGGGCTGTCCTCAGCAAGATGCTGTTCTCTGGGGGGCTCCCTCCCTTGTTGGTGAGGGCCAGAACTGGGGAAGGAGTCAGGAAGGTTACCAGCTAGGAAATGTGGGGGCCAGAATTTAAATCCTAGTCTAAATCCCAAACACTTATGCCTTCCACTCTATAGGGCAGGGATATTTGGGTTGGGCTTTGAAGGCTGCATAACCAGGTGGGAAAATGGGGAAAGGACACTGCGTGCAGAGGGAATGGCACACACAAAAGCAGGCAGGGCTGAGCTGGCCTGTTGTGTCAAGGGGTGTGCTACGGGAGGAGCTCAGAGTTCATGAGGGAACTGTGGAGTGGAAACCAGAAATGTATCATAAATTGGGGTCCAGTCATGGGTGGCTTTGCATGGGAGGTTAGGAGTGGGGTGATCTCCCTATGGCCACAAGGGGCCATCAGTCTTTAAATAAATATTCACTGACATTAAGTAAGGTACAGGGATTACAAGAGAAGAAGACAGTCCCCTTCCCTACAAAGCTGCTCTTCCAGAGGGACAGCCACACCTCAACCAATACACAAATGGGATTGTTTCAGCAGTAATATGCATTGTGAATAAATTGAAGGGAGAGGCTGGGAAAGATCCTGGTGTGTGGTGCTGTTCATGGGAGAGGCCCTCTTTCCTGAGGGCATATTTGAATTGAGATCTGAACAACAAGAAGTATTTACCCTAATTTACCCTAAAGTAAAAAAATTTTGTAGGAGTGTTCCAGGTGCAAGGAACAATTAGTGCAAAGGCCCTGTGGTGGGGACACACCTAATGTGTTCACTGATCTACAGGAAGGCCATTGTGGAGGTGGGCAGGGTGTAGGGGACAGGTGCGCCTGCAGGGGCCCTGGAAAGGGACTGTCAGTTAGTGGGAAGCCATGCAGGTTTTTAAATCACCAAAGTAGAGGGAATAGAAATAGGATCCAGGTAAGGAGACTCCTGCGGTTGTCCTCAGCAGAGCAGATGGGACTTGTCCTGGGCTGACAGCCAGGGAGGAGCTAGATGTGTGTGTGTTGTCTGGCTGGTCATGGTAGGGGCGGGGGAGAGAGGTTTCCTGATCGTTCTGGAGGCAGAGCTGATGGAACTATACCTGAGAAATGTCTGGCCAGATCAGGGTTCCATTCCCCATGGCTTGTGGAATTCAGTGAATGGAATTTGAATTTTAAATACAAGAGAGATTATTTCT